CTGGTGGGAGATTTGCATTGCTGGAGATTTGTTATTAACAAATTATTCTCTTTCCAGCATCATCTTGCCATGGGTGCCACAACTTTGAAAGAATTAAATAAAAAATCCTTTACTTATTGAGCTAGCCAGTAGCTGACAAATTTTTGTTATTGCCTCACATGTCACTGAGATTTCTTTCAGTTTCCATATTGAATACGCTCCAGCATTCCAAATGTGTGCAAAAGACTTTATCTCCAGAGAATGGAGAAATAAACTCCTAAAAGCTCTGGTTCAATTCTTCTTTAATATATAGTGGAGGGGTGCGATTATTCCCTATCTATGTTAATGTCCCCTTTCTTTACATCGAACTTTGACTCCCAATTTAAGTGTTTTGCTTAACCTCCCTTTACTGGTCTTTGTCATTTTGCATTGGGAAATCAGTATCTACAAATATTTATTCTGTGGTCAAAAATGGTTCAGGATATCACAGTTCAGATAAGAACATTTTCCTCCCCTCTCCAAACATTTCTTTCTCTCTTCTTTTGCTTTCTGTTCTCCTGCCTCCTATGTCTTCCCTTTGTTCCCCCGTCTTAACTTTACCTTGAATTTGTCAAAGGAATGAAAGATAATGTTTTGTCCCAATGGAAGTATAAAGGGTCATATTATGACTGACCTTTTCATATATGAAGAAAAGTTAAACAGTTCTGTTTTATGGTGAACAACATATCTTCTTTCAAGTGTCAGGCCTAATTTTACATTTACCAAGATGTAATTTACATTTTACAAAAATCTCACATTTTGGTGAAATTCCAAATTTAAAATTATATATTAAAGGTTGGAATGGAGTCAATTAGTCTATTTAAACATCACAGGACCAAGAAAAGTATCTTCACATACACTGACTGCTTAAGACAAATATTATTTGATAGCTTATGGATCCCTAACCCACACGTGACATATTAACACATAGACAACCGATGTCGACACATACTGTGCCAAATATAGCATCATTCTCCCTTCTCTGTCCTAACCTAAACTGCATCCAAGGCAATTCTTACCTATATTTTATTCATTGACCAAAAGGTAACCATGAAGAAATTAAATTGCAAATTTAAATGTAATTGGCAAATTCTTTAGCACTAACTACTATAGCATTTGTGATACAATTAAAATAGACCAAATTAGTCATATTAGCCCTGCTCTTTCCATCTGCGGCATGACTCTGAGGCTATGCATAAACGATCTGCTACTTACCTAAAAGATGTTGGGCAGCTTACATTACTATGAGGTCACGAGTCCTTCAGTGTTCACTGTTCAAACCTGACGGCAACTTGGGTGTGTTTTCTTACCTTGAGGAGAAAATAAGAGATGGGAAGAAGTGACGGACTGTGTTTCTTGATGAATGCAACCGTGATGTGACTGATTTAATGGGGCTGAGTTAGGCTTCTCTTTGCTATCAGTGGAAAAGGGAAAAGATGTCAGCAGAATAGTTCACGTTTATTGAGACCTTACTGGCTTCCAGGCAGTGAATTCTTTCTAAAATGGAAAATTTTAAATGGCATAGGTACTGTTATTAATCTCCCTTATCTAGATGTGGAAACCAAGCTTTAGAGAGGCTAAACACCTTGCCCAAGACCACACGTTGGGAAAACCAGGGGTCACCCCCCAGTCAGTTGACTCCAAAGCCTTTGTGCTTCATCACTGGTTTATAACTGGCGAAAACTTGGAGAAGAGCTTTTAAGATGTCCAACGTGTTATTTTAGGGGAGGCAGTCAAGTATGTTAAGAGGACTGTTTCTTATACATGAAACAGCTAGCAGCAGAGTAAATGAAAACATTGGGTTAATTTCCTCTTAAATGAGTGAATGTATATTTACCATCCAGAACAGTGCCTGATACATAGTAGCACTCAATGCATGTGAGCTATGGTACCAGTTAGGATTGCAGGTAACAAAACCTGGAAACAATGGCTTAAATGAGTGAGAGTCTTATCTCAGAAGATAGAAGTCTGGAGATAGGCAGAACTCCCCTGCCAGAGGGGCTCAAGAAAATTGCTAAAGGTGGGGTTCCTCTGGCTTCCTGGGCCATCATTCTTGATGGTCACAAGATGGCTGCTGCCCTCCGTCATTGCATACACATTTCAGGCAGAAGGAAGGACAAACAGGGAAAAGAAAAGCCTTCATCTCATGAGGTTTTATCTTTTTACTTGGTAAGTGACTCCTTCCTCAAATATTTCTACCTACCTCTCATTAGATGCCCAGCAGGCTGGAGAAACAAGTATTTCAATACGCTGTTGTATAAAATAAGCTACAAGGATATACTGCACAACACAGAGAATATAGCCAATATTTTATAATAACTGTAAATGAAGTATAACCTTTAAAAAATGTGAATACTATACAGTATTGTACACCTGTAACTTATGTAATACTGTATATCAACCATACTACAATAAGAACATTTTTTAAATAAAATAAATAAGCTAATATGTGCAGAGCGCTTAGTGCAGTTTCTGGCATATAGTAAGCATTCATTAAGTATTTGCCATAAAGATAAACGTTAATATTTCTGTGACATTTATTGATTTTTCACTCTATGCAAGGCATAGAGTTAGTTCCCACAGAGATGAAAGAATTGGAGGTAAACTGATTAAATCCTATGAATTGAAAACCCTGAAGAGACTGGAGCAATGACCCACAGGTACTATACAGACACTAAATGTTTGTTTGTTCCTGCTGTTGCTGAGGTGGTAATGAGGAGTGTACTTTCATTTAGTTACATCTGGAGACTGAAGAATGGGGAGCTATAAATCCATATTCAACTTAAAGGTTTGATTTGAGCACTAGAAAGAGATTTAATAGTAATGGCCCATGAATCTGGAGGTAAGTTGGGAGGCCAATGAAAAATAAGTTAAAATAATGTGGGCATGCAGCTCCTAGGGCTAATGTGGTACTCAGCCCACATTAAGAGCTAATGAGGAGAGGGGTCAAGATGGAGGAATAAGAGGACGGGCAGTTCACCTCTCCCCACAAGTACATCAAGAATACATCTACAGGGACTTCCCTGGTGGCACAGTGGTTGAGAGTCCGCCTGCCGATGCAGGGAACACGGGTTCGTGCCCCAGTCCGGGAAGATCCCATATGCCGCGGAGTGGCTGGGCCCGTGGGCCATGGTCGCTGAGCCTGCGCGTCCGGAGCCTGTGCTCCGCAACGGGAGAGGCCACAACAGTGAGAGGCCCGCGTACTGCAAAAAGAAAAAAAAGAGAATACATCTACAGGGACTTCCCTGGTGGTCCAGTGGTTAGGACTCCAAGCTTCTACTGCAGGGGTTGTGGGTTCGTTCCCTGGTTAGGGAACTAAGATCCCACATGCTGCACACGGCTCGGCCCAAAAAAAAAGGAAGAAAAAAGAAATCTACAAATGGAACAATTCGCACAGAGCACCTGCTGAACTCTAGAAGAGCTAATGAAATAAGCTATTTAAATCATACTGCTTATTCTCAGATTTGAAAAAAAAATTCAGTAAGACATTTATGAAAAACAAAACTCTGGATGATCATTAATATTTTGACAATATTTTTTCTAGGTAAGGCAAAGGAGATTCCCTTTTAAAATGCAGAACTTATTTGTTGAATCAAAGACCAATACTATCTCAAATGTCCAGGTTCTATTTCTCCCTCCCTTCACAGCACATTATTCCTCTTATCAAAACTAAACTCAGTTTCATTTGAATGCCTTATCGCTATGGTTTCAAAATTTGGAAAGCTCTTGGGATTAGATTTTGAGAACGGTAAATGTTGAGTGATAAACTCACACCTGATTCAACACCAACAAAAAGACCTTAGGTTTCTCCGGGCCTGTGGATTGCTGGTTCCCAGTCTGAAATGCCCTAACACACGTTGGTGGAGCTCAGGGGCTAGGACCATTAGTATTCGTGATTATGCCTTGTTTCTGGAAAGACATGATTCTGCAAAGTCCACCTAATGAAAACCAGCTACTGAACAATGGGTATCACATCAAAAGGAATGCCTTTCTTCTACCTAATACTGAAAAGGTTTATTATAGTCAGGGAGGATTGATGTGGTGGGTCCACAGGTGTCAGGGCTCGAGAATTCTTTTTTATTTTAAATAAAGTATTTTTTTAACCTCTTTACTGGAGTATAATTGCTTTACAATGGTGTGTTAGTTTCTGCTTTATAACAAAGTGAATCAGCTATATGTATACATATATCCCCATATCCCCTCCCTCTTCCGTCTCCCTCCCACCCTCCCTATCCCACCCCTCTAGGTGGTCACAAAGCACTGAGCTGATCTCCCTGTGCTATGCGGCTGCTTCCCACGAGCTATCTATTTTACATTTGGTAGTATATATAAGTCCATGCCACTTTCCAATTCGTCCCAGCTTACCCTTCCCCCTCCCCGTGTCCTCAAGTCCATTCTCTACGTCTGCGTCTTTATTCTTGTCCTGCCCCTAGGTTCCTCAGAACCTTTTTTTTTCTTTTTTTCAGATTCCATATATGTGTTAGCATATGGTATTTGTTTTTCTCTTTCTGACTTACTTCACTCTGTATGACAGTCTCTAGGTCCATCCACCTCAGTACAAATAACTCGATTTCGTTTCTTTCTATGGCTGAATAATATTCCATTGTTTATATGTGCAACATCTTCTTTATCCATTCACCTGTCGATGGACACTTAGGTGGCTTCCATGTCAGGGCTCGAGAATTCTAAAGTATGTTAAGAGGCAGGAGGAAGCTCCTGGCCTTCGGGTCTGCTCCTCCAACACTCCACATCAGGTAGGAAGGGTATGTTGCAGTCCCTTTCCCGCCCTGGGAGAGGATAGGAGGAGCGGGCGGACCCTGCCGCCCCAGGCCCCGCCCACAGATGCTCTGGGTCCAGCAGCCTCCTGGACAGCGGAGTCTGGGGGCGGAGCTCACCCTTGCCCTCGGGGTCCCCCGGGCTCCGCCAATCATGGAGCGCCCTGTTGGCCGGCGGCAGCGCCCGCCCCCTCCTCCTTCCGCCGGCCTCCCGTTTCCCAGAATCCAAGATGGCGGGATCCAGGCAAAGGGGTTCGCGGGCTGGAGCTCGGCCGCTGTTCTGCGCTTTGCTGCTGTCGCTCTGTCGTTTCGTCGGGGGCGACGGCGTGGGAGGCCACCCGGCAGCTGCCGGCGCCACGGGCACCCCAGGCGCGCAGCCACATCGGCGTTTCGAGTACAAATACAGCTTCAAGGGACCGCACCTGGTGCAGAGCGACGGGACCGTGCCCTTCTGGGCCCACGCGGGGAGTAAGCCAGGGCAGAGGTCGGGGGGCCCGGGTCCCCTCCCCGCCTTGAGCCTCCTCCTCTTCACCTTCTCCCCGCTGCACCCCGTATGCGCGGTGGAGGGGACCTTTCTCAGCAGCCTCGCCTGCACGCCGGCTCTGGTCCGCAAGGTTCCCTCCGCCAGCCCCCCAGTCTTTCCCACATTCTCTCCACCCGACCTTCCTCCTCCCGTCTTTGATGTTGTCTGTTCTTTCCGTTTGGGTTAGAGGTTTTTCCGTTAGTTCCCGCACTTCCAGGTACTAACTTGAGCTCGCTTCTGGGCATCACGTCTCACCCCAACGCCACGTCTCCTCCGAACCTGAGACCTGGTCTGGCAGCCCTCCACCTTCTTTCCCGCTCCCCCTCGGCCCTCCCCTGCGTTTTCTCCTCTGGTGTTAGCAGTGGGTAATGCTCCAGTTTGTACCCGATGCCCCCTGACGGCTTTAGAGGTGGCATGTGTTGGCTTTAGAATAATCTTTAAGTCTTTATGTCACAGGACATTCTTCTCACCCTCTTGGAACTGTACGTTAAGTTTGCCTTTCTCAGTGACTTGGTGTGGTCTTTGATCTTTTCTCTTGTATTAACACAGTAGGTAATTTAATAGTCACACTCGTTGCTTTATTTAGTAGAAGAAGGGAGGGGGGTTATTGACTGAGAACTTGAGGCTAAGAATAGCATTATATATACAGCTGTTTTGGGGTTTTTGTGGGGGGGGGAATTGAAATAACCTGTGCGCCATGTGTTACTGATTTTATGTGTTTGGCACTGTTAAGCACTGTTAGTGGGTAAGAGAGCCTTGCTAGCTATTTACATATGTGAAAGAAAACGTATCTACTTTAGTGCCGATGTGTCACCTCTGACTAAGGAATCAGCCGTAGCACTTGGCATGCTGTAAACTCTGTTCAGTGACCATCAGATGCAACCTTTGAAACAAGTGGCAAATGCCTTTATCTGGGGTTAGAAGCACTGGCAGTTTGAATTCCATCTTTATGTGTTATTAAGTAATCATTTATGTAAGGTTTGTATACATCGTTTTAGATTGTCGAGTGCTTGAAACAAAATGTTCCATTTCTAGAAAGTAGTTGCTGAATAGGAAGCACACTTTTAGGAAGTGCTATTTCACTGAAATTAATGTATAATTAAAAGGCATAAATTTCAATTTGACTTAATGACCAAGTCATTAAATATTTGAAGTAGAGTGCATTTTGTTACTCAGCGGACATTTATTATGTGATCACTCATCAAGGGTATGTAGCTGGGCAACTGTTATCAAGGTAGCATTGTTTTAATACACAAAGACGATGCAGGTGTGCCAAACACAGGTTTGGGGGATTTTTGTTTCTTTTCTTGGAATGATGATGAATTTTTCAGCACTGGTGGTAAATGTGTTGACATTTTTTCGCTTCTGTCATTCTCCATTGCCGGCTTGCTGTTCTTTTTCTCACGCTCACACCACATACATCAGCCAATTAGGAATGTTAATGAGCTACTTAAATTAGTCACATTGACTTTCTTTTCAGAACCTATAACCAACTAAACTTTTCTGCTGCAGAAATGTCAGATAATGTACCTGGGTGAATGAAAGTTGTATGGCTACATTGAATTTGAAATAAAGAGATTAGAATTTTAGCTAGTGACTTTTCTGTCTGTTGACTCTGGGAATCACTGCTTATGGGTATCCCTTGCTTTCATTATCACTGTAATTTTTACAGTCTCACAGCTTTCTTAACTCCACTGATCATTTTTTCCCCTTTCATTTTGCCCTGAGATCCATTATTTAAAACAATTTTTTTAATAGAGAAATTTTTAAGATTTAGTTTAAACGTGTCCCCTTACATCATCCCCAAATTAAGACCAAATCTATGGTGTTTCTTTTTCTTAACCCTCATGTTCTTTTGTACTGTCAGTACACATCCTTGGGTCCATAAGGGCAAAAATGATAACAGCAATTTGTAAGCCTTTATAGCTCTCAGAGCTCTTTCACCTTCTTCATGCTCTGATTAGATCCTTGGTAGGCAAGGCAGGTGTTATCTGTTTTATAGGTGAAAAAATCTGATGTTCAGAAAGATTAAGGTTCTTGGAAGAGGTTACCTAGTGTCCGTAGAATAGTACTCAAATCCAGGTCTTCTGATTTCTATATCCAGTGCTTTTCCTGTGATGACTGCCCCAAACCTTTACGTGTTTGAAAGTCATGGTGACAAATAGTGGCTGAACTTACTAAAATATCTCAACTTGTCTTTTAGTCAATTTTTCCTACCTGTAAAGAAACAATACAGTTATGTCCCAGTGTGGATGTCAGAATGTCAGAACTGGTTAATATCTGAAAAGGTGTGCCAGAATTGTCCAAATATAGACCTCATAGGTGCTTTAATAATTATCTAGTCCAATAATAGGAACAGCTAACATTTATTGAAATATTTATATGCACTTATATGCCTATGAGGTTGTTAGAGAAATGGAGTAACTTGCCTACGATCAAACAGCTAGTAAGTGAATGGAGGTGCAGGCCATCATTTTAGGGATCACTGTTCTCTCTGAGAATCTCCTGATGCTGAAGAACTGATTATTGACTTGAAATTCAGTTGATTGACCCTCTCCCTAGAAGAATGTATATATGCTCAAAATTCTGCGTATAACTTCTAGGGTGTATATAAGTGATTGAGCCCAGCCCCTTCATTTTACAGGTGAACATATGGTGAGCCCGAGAGAGTAAGAGAATTATTTGCTCAAAGTCACACAGCTGAACTGAGACTAGGAATAAGTCTCTTGATTCCTAGTGGTATGTTCTTTTCACACTGTTTGAGATTTCTAACATTTGTAAACTGGTAAAAAAAAAAAAATACAGTTTTAGAAAAGAAAATATGCAAATTTTTCAGGTGTTTGAAAAAGAGTATCATGAGAATTAAATAGTTGATTTGCCTTTCAAGCTGTAGTTTCCTCCCTGCTGCCCCTTGAATTTTTAGTGTTTGGTTGCAGCTTTAATTTTTTTTGCAGAGATATTGCACTCTTCCAAAGATAGGAGGGGGGTATCAAAACCCGCTAAAATTTAAAAGCTGAAACTGTCAACATGAAATTTTTTCCTAACAAAGTTACCATACAGGTAACTGAGTTAAACTTAGGTCTCAGTAGGTATATGTAACAGTTTGGTGGTGATTCATTGAGTTTTATCTAATTATAACAAAACTTTTCTTCCCTGATTTCTATTCTAGATGCTATTCCAAGTTCAGATCAAATTCGAATAGCACCATCTTTAAAAAGCCAAAGAGGATCGGTGTGGACAAAGACAAAAGCAGCCTTTGAGAACTGGGAAGTTGAGGTGACATTTCGAGTGACTGGAAGAGGTCGGATTGGAGCTGATGGCCTGGTACGGTAATTTCTTTAACTTGGAAAATTTGTGTAAATGCATATACCACTAGTCTCTAAATGTCCCGTGTTATGTATTTACAGGCAATTTGGTATACAGAAAATCAAGGCTTGGAGGGTCCTGTATTTGGATCAGCTGATATGTGGAATGGTGTTGGAATATTTTTTGATTCTTTTGACAATGATGGAAAGGTATATTTGTTTTCAGAACTGTTACCCATTTTAATATGTTTGCTAACAAAGTTAGGCTGTGAACAATATAGCTTATTTAACACTTTTGTCAGTTTAATAGTAGAGGACTCCCCAAACTCTATTTTAAGTGTGATGATTAGTCTTTACATAGCTGGGAATTTATAAATTTAAAGCTGGGAGTTCATGATTTGTCATGTACCAACTTGAGGTAACAGTGGAACCTCAGGTCTGAGAACTTTTCAGTACCCACCTCCCCATCACCCTGTTTATGCTTAATAATTTTTTTTTTTTTTTTGCGGTACGCGGGCCTCTCACTGTTGTGGCCTCTCCCGTTGCGGAGCACAGGCTCCGGATGCGCGGGCTCAGTGGCCATGGCTCACGGGCCCAGCCGCTCCGCGGCATGTGGGATCTTCCCGGACCGGGGCACGAACCCGTGTCCCCTGCATCGGCAGGCGGACTCTCAACCACTGTGCCACCAGGGAAGGCCCTATGCTTAATAATTTTGATGGATCAGCATGAGTCATTTAGATGTAGGTGGTTAGTGTTTAGAAGATTATTACTGTTTGTTTTCATGAAAATGTGTGCATAACTACTAGCTCACATGTTGATATGTTTTCATATATGTTAATCACACTTTTTGATCAGCCGATTTCTCTAAAATAGTTAAGAGCAAAATGTACTTATGAATTGGAAACATTAACTTGTGCTTTAGCAGCCCTAAAACTGATGATCATTGTTTCATTTAGTAGTTTGTCCGCTGATTATCCGAGGTCATGATTAGCAATTTAAAGGAGAGCTTTAACGTTGAGCTTCTTGAATGCTGAGGCCGTGTTAGTCCTCCTGTTACTGAGCTCCCATAAGTCCCACACCAGTCCCATGCTCACAGTGTCCTAGGATTTTAGAGGTGTAAGAAAACTTACATAGCACACACAGAATGATCTATACTTCTTTGGTCTAAGGACTTTAAAACAAATACATTCTCTTTATTTATAGAAAAATAATCCTGCAGTAGTGATTATAGGCAACAATGGACAAATCCAATATGACCATCAAAAGTAAGTGTATATTTTTTACATTATTCCTGATTTCAGCTTCCTTTTAGAAACCTTATAGAATATATTGTTTCAAATCTGAACATTTTCCAGATGAAGTAATATTATTCTTTTCCTTGAGATGATTTTTGTAACTTAGTGGAAAGGTCTTATCTTAATTTGGTTTTGTTTTAAAGTTCTTTCTGCGGACCACCTAGATTTCAAACATAAAAATGTGTTGTAGTTAACCTGAAATTAAATAGTACCTTTAAAGGTTGATAAAACATTCCTGGCTCTCAGTGATAACAATAGTTATGTTTTTTCATCTTTATTAAGAGGGATCTTTAAAAAATAAAGTTCAGAGCCTTAACCAACCTAATGACTAAGCAATGTGTGCCATGTCATTCAGCCTTTGTATTGCTGTATTGAAAAGATTCTCAGTGGGCTACAAAACTTCCGAGTGTTCAGTATATTTATAATGTGTATGAATCAGGTATGTACATTTTTAATTTTCACATGTTTGTTGGGGGGATTACCTTTTAGCCAGTGAGTGAACTGTAAGAAAAATACTTTCCTACCTTAGTGATTTGTAACTCTGGTAGTTCATCATGACCACCCATTGAAATATTTAAACAAGAGGTCCAAGCCTCCCCCTTGTGATTCTGCTTCAGCTGATTGAGGGTGGGATCTAGGAATCTGCGTTGTTGAAAGCACCGTATGTGACTCTGACCCTGCCCTAGTCTTGTGGAGAGGAAGAGTATCCCTTCCCCTTGCCGGCAGGCAGCCGTGGTAACGTTGGCTCCTTTTGTTATCCAGAGTCCTTGGTGTTTTCTGCATAAATAACTTCAAATATCCCAAGCTTTGTCATAACTTGATTTTGTTTTGACCTTTCTGGACATTAATCATTTTAAATAGTGAGTTTTTAACATATCGAGAAGCTTTAAGTTTCTTGTTTGTCTTCCTTTCCCTCACACTATAGTGATGGTGCTAATCAAGCTTTAGCAAGTTGCCAAAGGGACTTTCGTAATAAACCCTATCCTGTCCGGGCAAAGATTACGTATTACCAGAAAACATTGACAGTAAGTAACATGCATTTAGAGATAATCAAATGAACAATATTCTAGTATGACTTCTCATTCTGAATCTTTGATAGAAATCCAATGCATTTTAAATCTGGATATTGTTCGCATACTCATCAGTGTTACTCTGAGAGAGCAGAGGTGGCTTCAAAGCTCGGTGTAAGTGGTCATGTGTTGTCAAATTTGCCAGTAGGTTTGTGTTTAGTCGGTGAATGTTTAGGCATTCTGCTGTGTGCCACACAAATATGAATAAGACAAAGGTCATTTCCTCCAAAGAGCTTGTCTAATGGAGGTGACATTATGTAACATTATGCTTATGTAATGTTAGTATGCTATGTGGTAAATTTAAGGGATCAGGAGCTTAGAATCCTGTAACTCTGTCAGGCTGGAGAGGTGAAAGTCAGGAACAGTTTCTCAGAGTTGAGCTGCACCTTGAAGGAGAAGTAGAAGTTTCCTAGATGGAGTGCATATTCCAGGCAGAGAAAACAGGCATCGGGACTGTTAAAAGATTTGGGAAAGGCAAATAGTTGGTGTGGCTGGAGGATAGAGGAGATTTGGAGAGTGAGGTTGAAAGGTTGACAGTAACAAGTCTCGCAGCCCTCTGTGTAGTTTATCCCGTAAGAACAGTTTATAGAGTTTTAAGCAGGAATGTGAAATGATCAGGTTTACAGTTGAGGAAGATGACTTAGGCAGCAGTGTTTTTATAATGGTATTTGTGAAAGGAGCAAAAAATAGGATGATTTTAGCCTTCTTGCTGTAAATGAGCCACGACCTGTACTTGGTACTCTACATGCAGTTTCTCACGTTTTCTTTTTTCTTCCAGTTTTATTGAGATATAATTGACCTACAGCGCTGTAGAAGTTTAAGGTATACAGCATAACGATTTGACTTACATACATCATGAAATGATGACCACAACAAGTTTAATGAACATCCATCATCTCATATAGAGAATTAAATAGAAAAAAAAAATTTTATATTAGGTTAGAATTTTTATATTAGATTAGAATTTTTTATTAGATCATATTTCGTGCATGATTTCCAAACTGAAATAAAACTGCACATGTAAAATAAAATTTAAAAAATAAAATAGTAATGTCAAACTTTCTTTTTCCTTCTGATAAGAACTCTTAGGATTTACTCTTTTAACCATTTTCATATGTAAGACGGCAGTGTTGATTATACTTACCATGTTGTACATTACATCCCTAGTACTTATGTATCTTATAACTGGAAGTTTATCCCTTTTGACTGTCTTCATCCAATTCTCCCACCCCCATCCCCTACTGCTGGTGTCCACAAATCCAGTGCTATATGTTTGTTTGTTTGTTTGTTTTTCAAGTAAAATTGACCTATAACACTATGTTAGTTCCTGGTATACAGTGCAGTGATTCAGTATTTCTGTACATTTCAAAATGACCACCGTGATAAGTCCAGTTATCTATCACCATACAAAGATATTTCATAATTATTGACTGATTTCCCTACACTGTACATTTCATACCTGTGACTCATTTATTTTGCAACTGGAAGGTTGTACCTCTTACTCTTTCTCACCTGTTTCTCTCCTCCCTGCCAATTCCCTCCCCTCTGGCAACCACCTGTTTGTGCTCTGTGTCTATGACTCTGTTTTGTTCTGTTTGTTCATTTGTTTTTTAGATTCCACATATAAGTGAAATCATACAGTACTTGTCTTTCTCTGTCTGACTTACTTCACTTAGCATAACACCCTCTAGGTCCATCCATGTTGTTGCAAATGGCAAGATTTCAATCTTTTTATGGCTGAGGAATATTCTGTTGTATATATGTACTACATCTTTATCCATTCATCTGTTGGTGGGCACTTAGGTTGCTTCCATATGTTGGCTGTTGTAAATAATGCTGCAGTGAACGTAGGGGTGCCTATAGTTTTTCTCATTAGTGTTTTCATTTTCTTTGGATAAGTACCCTGGAGTGGAGTTGCTAGATCGTATGGTAGTTCTGTTTTAAATTTTTTGAGAAATAATCTCCATGCTGCTTTCCATAGTGGTTGTAGCAATTTACATTTCTGCCAACAGTGCACAAGGGTTCCCTTTTCTCCACACCCTCACCAGCATCTGTTATTTGTTGCCTTTTAGATAATAGCCATTCTGAACAGATGTGAGGTGATGTCTCATTGTGGTTTTGGTCTGCACTTCCCTGATGATTAGTGATGTGGAGCATCTTTTCATGTACCTGTTGACTATCTGTATGTCTTTGGACAAGTGTCTATTCAGATCCTCTGCCCATTTTTTAATCTCGTTGTTTGCTTTTCTGATGTTGACTTGTATGAGTTCTTTGTATATTTTGGATATTAACCCCTTGTCAGATATATCGTTTGCAAATATTTCTCATTTATTCCAACAGCCCTATGGGGAAGGCATCCTCGTTTTATAAATGGGGAAATTGAATATGGGAGAGTTTAAGTAACTTGGACAGTGTCTTACCACATAAGTAACAGAACTGTGATTTGAACCCAGCACAATTTTAGCGGCAAGACTCCACTTGTGGTCTGAACGAGGGTAGAGGAAAGAAGAGATGATTAGGAGGTGGAGACTACAGAACTTAGTACTAGTTGGCTTGGGGCTGGGAGAGTGAATATAGTTGTGGAGTCAAAGATAGTTCCTGAATTTCTGGCCAGTGTTCAACTAAATGTTACCATTAACTAGCCAAAAAGCAGCACGTTTCTTTGTGTTTGAGGGAGGAGTGGGAAGGCAGACAGTTGGTAAGGAGTTTAGTTGTAGACAAATTGAGTTTGGGTTAATATTTAGGTTAGGTGGATATACCCAGCAGGCAGTTATAATAACTAAGTTATAATAACTAAGGTCACTAATACCATGTGAACATTGCATTTTTAACAATACCATCAGTACCTGGTTATATAATGCTTATAAGTAAAGAATATCTTGTATACATTTTTCTTTTCCCTAAATCATGAGCCAGCCTTGCACTCCTTTGTATAAACTCTGAAAAAGACAGTTATTTGGAAAACTTTGTATTGGCTTACTCTTAAATTCCAAACTAATTTAGAGACCTCAGAATAGAGGCACTGTCCAGTCTATTATGACTAACTTGGATTTGAGTTCTGCTGGAATTATTATACATCCTGTACAGTTTCATCAGGGGCATCAGTAGGTCATGCTTACCTTCATGTGGCAGAACCCAGATACCAACCATGGCGAGTACAGACACGCACCTGAGCACACAGATCACAGGGAGGCTGCCTACACGACCCCACGCAGTGAGGCCGTCAGCCCTACCAGCAGTTCGCAAAACAGTAATCCTGCAGAACACCAAAAAAAGTTCCGTGGTCAGATAAGATTGGGAGGTCTGTGCATACAAGCACGTTAAAGACGCTGGGAAGTCCCGAAATAAAGAACCTTTATTAAACCCCTCATTCTTTAGGCTTACTGGGCCATGGAATTCTCTTTTCACTTCGTATCTGTGAATGTCTATAGAGCCAGTGTTCTGAAGAATACATTTTAGAGAGACTTGGCAGGACATCTGGTTGTGACTTAACAGTCCTAGCCTTCGTGTGCTTGCTCCGTCTGCTGCCCCTTCCTGTAATACTCTCCCCTTTCCTCTCTGCCTGGCAGAGTCGTGCTCATTCTGGAACATACTAGTTCAGGATCTCTTTCCATCAGATTTCCCAAACATCAGCTCGTAAGGATCTGTCTCTCTTAAACTCTAAGTGTTTTTTTTCCCTCTGGTGCTTATTTGCCCTTTAAAATATGTTGTCTTGACTTGCTAGTTAATTATGGTTTGTATGTGTTTTCTCATCAATATGGTTGTACACATCTCAGTGCAGGCACTATATCCTACATTCCTCATACTCCCTAATACTGTGCCCGTGTTTAGTACTCAAGAAATGTTTATTAAATATACTTACATCTTTAGCTCCCAGTTGTTTGAGCTTTGGAGGGAAAAACAAAGCAAGGGGAAAAAGAAATGCTGTTAGTGGAGGAAATATGTCAAAACAAGATATTATACACTTTTTTTTTTTTTGGCCACGCCGTGTGGCACGTAGGATCTTAGTTCCCCCGACCAGGGATCAAACCCACGCCCTCAGCAGTGGAAGCGTGGGGTCCTGACCACTGGACTGCCAGGGAATTCCAAAACAGGATTTTAAATACTGCAAGCATGGTATTTAACAACGGGTCGAAACTGTAAGATGAATAAGGGATGTTATCTGTAATCTCAAAGAAGCATTACTGGTATTAATCAGTGGATATATTGTACCTGTACAGTCACAGCCCTAAGGTTCCTCCAAACTCATCGTGCAGTGAATATATTGTACCTTTTTTTTGTTTGTTTAAAGAATTAGAACTGGATAGTAAATACTTCTGATGGATTTTCAATTTCTTAGGGCTCAAGGAAAAAATATTGAAGAGTTGAAAGTTCTTAGTATTAATTTTAGAATATGATTAACTTAACATTTCTTTTTTTATCTCTCAAAGGCAAATGTCTTACTGATCGGCGATTTGAAAGACTGTAGGAGAATCAGTTGTACATGCTATAAACTCAAATAGGAACATTACTGAATAGAGGAAACAGAAATATTAATATTGGTCAATAAATGGCAGGTGATTTTTAAAAAATTGGTAGGAGTTCCCATGTTGCCATCCTACGTTATATAGAGATTAACCCTTCATATTGCCCTGTCCCTTACTCTTTTGCTAAAAATTTGGATCAAGTACTGTCACATTTTACCTGTATGACTTTGTCTTAAGTGTCACTAATGAAACTTTGCATCTGGAGGTAATGATAGAAGTGCCCTTACTCTGGTGCCGTGTACCTACTCCCTTTGCTTCCACTCTATCTCGCTGGCTCTTCTTTAGGGTGGGGCTAGTGGTTGGGTTGCTAGAAGTGGAAGGTATTGAAGAGGCCAGATCACTGCTTGACTGGGCTCATGAGAAGAATATTCATGTGCCAGGTGGATTCCTGTGCTTGCTTAGATTCCGAAGTTCGTTTAAGACGTGTAGGGTCATTATTTCAAAAATACATTCTGCAGCGTAGAAGCTTATGTGTCTTTCTGTTTTTTTCATTTTCTGCCTTTTTTTGTCTATATGACATGTCACTTTTGCTGACTCTCTGCTAACTTAGTACAGTCCAGTTACCCCCTATTTTTTTTTTTTTTTTTTGGCAGTATGTGGGCCTCTCACTGTTGTGGCCTCTCCCGTTGCGGAGCACAGGCTCCGGATGCGCAGGCTCAGCGGCCATGGCTCACGGGCCCAGCCGCTCCGCGGCATGTGGGATTTTCCCGGACTGGGGCACGAACCCATGTCCCCTGCATCGGCAGGTGGACTCTCAACCACTGCGCCACCAGGGAAGCCCACCTCCCTAATTTAATGAAGAAGAGTTCACTACTTGCTGAGGCAGTCTGTTTAATTCTCAACTTGCTATAGTAAAAATTGTCAATTTAACTTATTCGTTGTAGCTCTGTCACTGGAGTTTCAGACCAAGCCTGATCCCTCTTCTGTAGGAACCATTCAGAGAAAGTAATCATGGTTGGTTCCTTAAGTCTTCTCTAGAGAAGGTGAAGCACATTCTATTTTAGAAAGATTTTCATGGAAAGTTATCAGATTTTTATTTTTAAGCCTTTGACACACAGTAGGGCAAAAACCATTTTCTGAAGTGAATTATCTCATTGTATAATGATCCCAAATAAGTGAGTTTATTTAATGGACAAGGGATTACAGCTTTTAAATTTTTTTTATTTTCATTTTTTCTTCCAATTTTATTGAGATGTAATTGACATACGACACTGTAAGTTTAAGGTATACAGCGTAATGATTTGAAGCTCATAGCTTTTTGTTGGTTATTAGACCAAATATAAAGATCAAATAGTCATAAACTGACTGCTTGAAATTCATTTTACAAGATCTTTGTAAAAGCTATAGCTACAGTTTGTCTTTCTAGGTAATGATCAATAATGGCTTCACACCAGACAAAAATGATTATGAATTTTGCACCAAAGTGGAAAATATGATTATCCCTGCACAGGGCCATTTTGGAATATCTGCTGCAACTGGAGGTCTTGCAGGTAAAATCTTGGTATCTTTTAATATTGAAAGGTTGTGAATTGAATTTTATTGGGAATAATGTATTTTGGAGATGGGTAGCGTTGTTTGCTTTTAACCTTTTAAGACTGGTTGTAACCTTCCATGATCTGGGGTGCCAGTCCTTTGGGTCTCTTGGGACTGCTGATCCTCTACTTTCTGTAGGTTTACAGTTGGCTGGGGCTGTGTGCAATTATGTAAATTAGACTGTCAGTTTGGGTGTGATATTTTATAGTGAAGGAGACATTTAAAAGGTTAACTGCCAAGTGTTTTAGGATCCTGAGAGCTGTCACAGCACATTTAAATGAATTTGGTAGCCTGAGGAAATATTATTGGGGGCTAAACTTTAAAGAAGACGTACTTACCCTTTTTTTTCCATGAGTGGTGATAAATGAACTTATCATTGGATGTTAACACCATCTTGTGTTCATATTGTATAATATTTTTATTATTTTCAAATATGTGAATTTTTCCTTACAATAGAACAAGGAGGGAAGGAGAAAGGATAGATCATATTTAACCAATTTTTAGGTGACTTGGCCAAATCTTGGATTAAAGGGCTTTCTAAAGATCACATGGCCAATAAATCAGACCCAGGCAGGACTTGGTTTAGATTTCTGGCTCCTGGGTCTAGGGCTCTGTTAACACTGCATGACTTCTCCTAATGTTACCTAACCTACACTCTGGTATTACAATTTTCTCTTTAATCTGGCTATATATCTAGATCTCCATAAAAGTAGCAGAAAGCAAAGAGATTGCTGCAGTGGGAATTCATCTGTCTTGCTTTGTGGATGTGACACTAGCCAGGATGAGTATTGTAGTTCGATGTTATGAGGTTTGATCTGTTAGCTGTTTTTAGCTTAAACAGCTTGAAATGAATTTGATTTTTTTTTTTTTTTTTTTTTTTTTTTTTGGGTCTCTGGGGGGTTCCTTTCTGTTGTGGCCTCTCCCATTACGGAGCACAGGCTCCGGACACGCAGGCTCAGCGGCCATGGCTCACGGGCCCAGCCGCTCCACGGCATGTGGGATCTTCCCGGACGGGGGCACGAACCCGTGTCCCCTGCATCGGCAGGTGAACTCTCAACCACTGCGCCACCAGGGAAGCCCCTAATTTGATTTTTTAATATGATTTTAGGTGAAATGAAATCTGTATGAGGGAAACAAATATAAATAATATATAGAAAAGTAATCATATTCTAATCGAGATGCTTTGGGAGTAACAGGAGATGCTATTAGTAATGCCAGGGGAACACAGATAAATCAGGACTGTCCCAGTAATCCAGGACAGAGCAGTGTCATGGTTAAAACAGGAACGTAAGGCTGGGACTGATAAGTACTATAAGAAAGGTTCAGAGACAGATAGGAACAGGAAATACCTGAAGAACAGGATTTTGTCTCACTTGACTGGGACGCAGCGCATGAAGGAGATTTGTGGAAAAATAAAGGAGGATCTTGCTGCCAGAATTAGGAGTTTGGACTTGTTTTGACCCTTCATTTGTTTGTTCATTCCCTTATCAGACATTTATTAAACATCTATCATGTGTTAAGCACAGCTAAGTGTTCTGGTTTAGGATTTTAAAAAGTGAATTCTAACCTAGTTCTAATATAAGTCAGATGAATTTTTGTCTCTAAGCTCACAGAGCACTGTTGCCTTTACCAAATTAGAGCAAATTTTTGTTGTTTCCCTTATTGATTATTATTTTAAAGCAACAGATGTCTATAAAGTAAATTCACAACCATAAAAATAATCTATTACAGAACTTTTTCAGATTTTTTTTTTTTTTCACTTTGTAGATGACCATGATGTCCTTTCTTTTCTGACTTTCCAGTTGACTGAGCCTGGGAAAGAGCTGGTAAGTATACTCATTTTTTTCCAGAAGTTTATCTGTAGTTTAGTGGTACTGCCTCGTAGCTGAAAACTTGAGAAGACTGACTTAGGTTTGGATCTTGTTTCTGCCAGATATTGCCATTATGACCTGGTACAAGTTACTTAACCTCTGTAACGCTCCATTTCTTCACTGGTAAAACTGAGATGTTTGTACTGGCCACCTTAACGTTGTAAACATTAAAGACACTGCCCTCTGGCAAGCACTCAATAAATGGTAGTGGCTATTTTTATTTTTTGTTGTAATATTAGTAGCAAGAGTAAATTAACCTTTCACCTAGTGGTAGAGTAGTTAAAATGAGAAAAAGAACATATACTGAGGTTTATTATTTTCTTTTTAATTTTTTTAATGATCTATTCTTAAACTCCAAAAAAGCCTACACCAGATAAAGAAATTTCTGAGAAAGAAAAAGAAAAGTACCAGGAGGAATTTGAGCACTTTCAACAAGAATTGGATAAAAAAAAGGAGGAATTCCAGAAGGACCACCCTCACCTTCAAGGGCAGCCTGGTGAGTTGGAGCAGAGCTGTCCTCCGCTGCAGCAATAGCTGTGGCGCTTATGTGTCACCCGGCACTTCATTCATTTTATCTTCGCTCTGTGATCTGGCACATTCCAAGTAATTTCGAGAAATAATTTTTAAACAAATCTTCAGTCTTTAAAGGGCTCGGAGATTGATGTTTTTACCGGGAAGAGTATCGCTTAGTGAAGTGTGCAGTCGGGAGTACCTGGATGATGTAGACAGTGAACCGTTGGAGTGTAAGCTCTGTGAGCGCAGGGGTCTTTGTTTGCTGTGTCTACTTCTGTGTCCCCTAAGCCTAAAAAAACAACAGCGGTGCTGACGTAGTAGTTGAGACTCAGTAAATATTGGTTGAGTAAATATTTGTTGAATGAAATCGTCCAAGGTTTATTTCTTTCCTTTTAGTGACACACAATTACCTTATAATATAGAGCTAACACTTGAAAACTATCAAGACTTGCGAGAGTAACGTGAAGTAATTACCGACTCCTCTTACTACTCAACAGAATTCTGGACATTAAAGGTTGAAAATTTTAAAATATTAGTCTAAGCTAATGTAATTAAGAACTTACATGGGCTACATGTCAAAAACAAAACAAGATGAGGCCAAATAGAGGGACTATATATAATCTGCTAACTTTTATGATCTCGGTTCCCTATGAGCACAAATGATCAAGGCTATATTTAATAAAGCCTGGGCTAGCTTTTGAACTAAGTAGTGTGTTAATATAAATGATTAGCAGTGTGATTCAGATTTAATGAAGATGAAAATGAAAGGTAAGTTTTATTTTTTCCTTGGGTTTGTTTTAAACATCGCATATGATTTGTGAATATATCCTGAAGCTTATTGTAGTAAGCGTTTGAATGAAACGATCTGATTTAAGCATGGTCAGGAATAAAAGGAAAATCAGCTGTTCTCAACTCCATTTCTTAATCTTTTATGTAAGTAAAATGCATAAATTTTAAGAAAATAGTTTGATGAATTTTGACAAATGTGTATACCCCTTTAACCATCACTCAGATCAGTATATAGAATATTTTTATCACCCCAGAAAGTTCCCTTACCTCTTTCAAGTCAACCCCCTTCCAGAGGCAACCAATTAGATTAGTTCTGCCTGCCCCTGTAAATAGAATCACACAGTCTATTTAAAAGACAAAATAATTTTTAGGTGAAAAAATTCAGACCTAATTTATAATAAGTATTCAACCACCAGAGATGGTGAAAACAATTAGTAATTTAATCACGATTGAATTAATTACATGCATGTTTAACACTGTGGGAAGATCATAACGCTGTGTTGATGATGTTCTTATTCTAGTATATGTTAGTGCTTTGGTCACTTACAGTAATTTGAAAACTATGTGTAGGTGATTCTAATAATTTTGATTTGTAATTTCCATTTCAGCGGATGAATTATTTGAGAGTGTAGGAGATCGTGAGCTGAGACAAATCTTTGAAGGACAGAATCGTATTCATCTTGAAATCAAGCAGCTGAACCGACAGTTAGATATGATTCTTGATGAACAGAGAAGGTATGTCTCTTCCTTGACGGAGGAGATCTCTAAAAGAGGAGCAGGAATCCCAGGGCAGCATGGACAGGTGAGCTTTGAAAATATGCAGATATGCCTTAGTTATTAGCCTTTGGTGGCGGAGAGGTAGAAAAGAAAAGCTGTATGTTCTGTAGAACGGGGATTATTGAGCTGGGTGGTCATCTTTTGTTTTTTTCTCCAGACCACTCAACAAGAACTGGATACTGTTGTGAACACTCAGCATGAGATTCTGAGACAAGTAAATGAAATGAAGTAAGTATACAACAGTAATGTCTGAGTATTGCGTGATACCTTTATCCTAAATTCATGACTTCTCTAGATATGCAAGCACATTATTGTTGTAAGACTGCAGCATGAGTAAGAGTCACGTTCTAGATTATTTTCTAAATAGGGGAATGTAAAGTATACGGGGACTTTTGATATTTAGGAAACCTGTCTAAATTTTTTTATTTGTTCCAAGCTAGAAAAGAAAAAGATGCTTTAGCATCTTAAAAAAAAAAAAAAAAGGTTTTGTCACAGTTGTTTGACAGCATTTGTGCATTTCTAAAATATAAAAAGAATATGGGTAATACACAACAATCCTAGGATAAATAACTGGAGGAATAAGCATGCATAGTATTACAGGTCTGTAGAACAAACATACCTGATGCCAGAACTTCTTTTTGATGGAATGAAACCATTTTGAAGGAAATATGCTATGTGTGACTCCCTCTTTTTCATCCTGTGTTGTACCCTAAGAGAGCCTGGGCAAAGGGTTGCTGCAGAGAGGAGACACTGTGTCCTTGGAACATTGAATGATAGGTTTTTGAAAAGGATTCACTTATCAGATAATTAGCATTCAACACCTGAAGCAGAGAAACAGCCGACATGTCACATGTCATAAGCTAATACATTAGGGCACTGCCCCAGCCAGTACAGCCCTTGACAAACTAGAATGTTAAGGTGAGTTCTTCAGGACTGGAAAATTAAACCGAATGAGGTTAAACAGAAGGCGATAACATTTAACACCTAGAGGTTACAGGCAGCCTAACTTGTAACTGCAAATTTGTATTTCTTTCAGTTGTACTGTTTGGCACTTTTTAAAAAATCTTTAAGTTTTTTAAACTCATGATTAAAATATTTATGATGTTAACTGAATAGTTAAACTGTTTTAGAAACAGACCAAATCAATATAACATTTAAAAAAATATTTTGATCTAATTTTAGACTTTAGACATTGCAAGAAAAAATAAGGACATATCCCTCATATATCCCATGTATCCCTCACTTATCTTCCCCCTGATGTTAACATCTTACATAACCACAGTACAATTGTCAGAATGGAGAAATTAACATTGGTACAGTACTATTAACTAAACTAATGATCTACTCAAATTTCACCAGTTTTCTACCAGTGCCTTTTTCGTTCTAAGATCCTATCCAGTATTGCACGTTGCATTTAGTTATTTCTCTTGACTTCTGCAGTCTGAAATAGTTCATATTTCCTTGTCTTTCATGACCATGGCAATTTTCAAGAACATTGATTAATTCATTGGACCAATTTGGTTCCTCAGTTTGGGTTTGTCTGGTATTTACTCATGATTGGATGGAGGTTCTGCATTTTTGACAAGAATACAACAGTGCATCATGTTCATGATGTTGGTATGTCTTATAACTGATGATGTTGGCTGTGATCACTTGGATATTGTTGTTTCTTCCCGGTTTCTCTACTTTAAAGTTACTATCCTTCCCTTGGTGGTTAATAAATATTTGGGGAAAGATACTTTGAGTCTTTGTAAATATCCTGTTTCACTTTAACCTTTGGCTCACTAATTTTAGCATCCATTGATGTTTTATCTGAAACAAGAATGTGGTGTTTACCAAATGCTGGTTTTTCTATTTCCATAATTCCTTCTATATCTACTTACTGGCATTCTATAAGGACCACTCCTCCTTCTCCCCCATTTATTTATTTAATCTACTTATATCAGTGTGGACTCATGGATTATTTATTCTGTGGGTTATAATCCTGTACTATCATTATTTATTTTGTTGTTCAAATTGTTCCAGCTCTGGTCGTTAGGAACTCCTTCAGGTTGGCTTCTGTGTTCTTTCAACAAACCCCCATCTTTTTAAAATATTTCTTTACTTTCTGGTACTGTAATATGTTTCAAGCTCATCTTGTATTTTCTGTGCCCCAGCTCTAGAATCAACCACTTCTCAGTGAGCCCTGGTTCCTTTTATTGGAGAAAAGTATTTAGAAACCAAGATCTGGGCACTAGGTATACTCATTACTACTGGGGTGCCATTGCTTCTAGGCCCTCTCAGTGGGCAGGTCTAGGGAATATGTGAATGTATACTAATCACACATATACACATATTTTTGAATCCCTTACTCTACATTTGTATACCACGAGATTATACAGATACTTTGGTTGGACTGGACTGAACTGAAAACTGAAGGGCTGATTTTAGCCTTCCTCCTTTCCCTATTTGAAAATTGTTTCTCCAAAAGGGAGAAACCTGGTTCTTATCTATAATGTATTTACTTATTGGTATAGTTTTAGTGTGTGCATAAAGTATACATAAAGTGGTTTCAAATTATTAAGCCATATCCCTATGAGAAACACATATAGTGATGGATTTATGATTTATGTAAAGCTCCTTTTGCCTCTAGCCTTACAGTATCTAGTCCAGACACCATTTTCCAGGTAGTTAGTTTAGTTCTCTTCTTCCCTACTCTCTTCAGTATGGTTATGATATTCATTTATAATACAGGTAGGTTTTTTGTTAGTGTTTGCATTTCTCCTACGTCCTGGTTGATTTTAATTGTTTATATTTTGGGTATATGAAGGGTATGTGAATGCTGTGGTTCTAGGGGCCGGAATATATTCATTGAGGTATCACTTCCTCTTCATCACTGCTGCCCCACTTCCATCCATTCTCTCCTTCTTTCTAGCTCTTTCCCATCCACCCCCTGTTGGTAACTCATCCCATTAATTTCTGGTTTGTTCTTCCTCTATTTCTTCTCCACATGTGTATTTTCTTAGATCTCCTTCTTTCTGATGTAAATGGTAGCATGCTTTAGATACTGTTTTGTGCTTGCTTTACTTAAGAGTAATACTAGAACATCTTAAGATTCAGTTAGTGGTTAGCAAAGCCTAGCCATCCAGTTGTATTATCCATGCAAACACTTACTTAGGGTAGCTAGCAATCCATGTAAATTCCCCCTTGTTAATGAAGGACAAATGTCATGCGTGCAATAAGTTAATGTAAAAGCTGAACTCAAATTTCTGAATTTGTCCTCTAAAGCTTTTTCTTCTGAATAAGCTTCAGAAAAAAATGCAAAGAGATAGGAAATATTTGCCTTTCATAGAAAGGGTGGTTTGTGTCTTCATGGATTTTCACGCTCTTAGGGGATCATAGAATTTTTTTTAGCAGAAGCATGTAGTTCAGTTGTCTGCAGTTTACAGAAAGAGGGGAAAAGGCTCTGAATGATAAAAGATCATGATATGAAAACAGAACTAGTACTCATTATCTCTACTCTCAGGTGCTATTTTTAGCATACCATAAGTCCTTGCCAATTTTTATTTAATTATAGAAAATTTTAAACATACAAAAAAGTTGAGGCTAATATAAGGGCCTTCTCTCAGATCCCCATCACCCAGTCCAGCAGTTACTAATAACCAGATTTTGTCAGCCTGAGCCATTCATTATAAAGTGCCTCCATCAGCCTAAGTTTTAGCCAGTGATGGCCGTAGCCTAAATCCATCATTTCATTAGAGGTTGAAGAAGGATGACACTCTTATTCTAAAATTCCCTCTCCATGTAAAAAGAATTTCTCTGATTACTTACTTGTTATCCTGAAATAGTTCAGGAAAGGCAGGATAAATACTTGATTCTTTTTTATCATTTTTTTAGAATAACGAGTTGGTCCCCTGGCAGTGACCAAGGTTAAATGATGAGATAGTGAGAGGTGATGTTTGTTTGATTGTTTTCCAACTCGTGGAGTTTAACATGTTTTGCTGTTTTACATTAGTCTTTATAATTGATGTTCAGATTGTTTCGTCTTTGGGCGCTAGCTGTCCCTACAGGTTAGCTTCTGCATCCTTTTGATGCAACCCCAGTAGTCTTTGGTAGCTTCCTTCCTTTCAGGTGTAAGACTTTCCAGGTTTCTCTTGTACATTTCTGTCCCACACGTGTCAAAGGCATTTTTCTTTGGAGCCCTGGTCTTTTAGTGAGAAATGGTATTTAAGGACAGTGTCGTGCTTAATGCTACTGGATTGTCATTGCTTCTGGGCCTTTTCAGTGGACAGAGTTACTAATGTTCTTTGAACTTTGCTATTTGTATGTGTTGGCTGTGTTATTAATTGGTTGTAATTTTTTTAATAAGTTCTTTTTGGTGAGCAGACAGCATTTAGCATTTCATATTTACCTTTACCAGATTTTTTGAATACCTGTTGCATTCTGGGTACTGTGCTAGGCATTTTCACATGAATATTTTCACATATTCTTCTGGGATCTTGCTCCTAATTATCATCTTCTGTACCTTCAGCCTGTCCCTGTAATATAATATTTAAGCTATTCAGTGATCTTTATTCATTCTGTATCTTCACCACTTTCTTCAGGCCCCATAACTCAGCCTGCCATTGACATTCTCCCTGGGAGATGACATTGTCTCCTCCTTCACCTCCTCTTTTGTGCTGCACCCTCCCTCCCCAGACTTGTCTCCATCTGCACAGCTGTTGTCCAGGCTAGTCCTTAGCCCTGGATCCCGTTCTTTCTACTTCTCTGACCCTTGCTCTTTAGTGATCCTTTCTCTGTCTTCTACCTTTAACTTACACCTCATACAAAAGGGCTTGCTCTTCCATTATTGAAAACTAATCAAATAAAACCTTTAATTGACACTTTCTATTATTTTTACTATTGCTTCTCTTTTTCCTTCCTTTTTAGTGAGTTTCTAAAAAAGTAGACCAAACTGCCTGTCTTCGTTTCCAAACCACTGTAATTTGTCCTGAAAGCACCAAACTGTTCTTTCTGCAGTCAGTGGTGCCCTGTAATGAGTACCTTTCAGTCCTCATCCTGCTGGACTTTCTGTAGAAATTGATACCTCTCCCACCCCCTCTATCTTGAGACATTTTTTTTCCCAAGGCTTCTGGCATACCACTTACTCTTGATGTTCTCGGCCTCTGCTGCTTCTTAGTTTTCTTCATTTGTTGGTCATCCTTCCATTATTCCTTAAAAGGTATTTTTTCTCTGGTGTTCTATCCAGCCCTCTTCACTTGACCTATTCCCTAAGCTACATATGCCCTCCTTCCGTCACAATCCCATCCTCACAGAACCCTCCTTTATCCTTTAACATTCAGCAGTGGGTGCCCAGCTAAGTTAAATGCATCTTTCTTCATAGAACTCTAGATGTGCCTCTATCACATTGCTCTCCTGCTAGTCTATTAGTCTCAGCAGGGCAGGAATTATATTTTTCTTGCACAGTTTATATCCCTAAAAATTGCCTGGCTCGTAACATGTAGCAAATAAACATTAGCAGAATCAACAGGCAAATGAATGAATGATGACTCAGTCTTTGTGTATTCAAAAGACATTTATGTATATATAAGCAAGTTCATGCTCTGGGAAGCAATATTTTAAAATGCAGATATGTGAGAAGGTTGTATATTCTGGGATGCTTTATTCTTGGTAAGTATTTTAGAGATAGTAGAATATAATTCTTAATTTGGGTTTAAGTGGGAAAGCTTAGACTCACATGAATTTCCTTGAGCATGTATGCCATTCAAAGAAGTTTTAATCAACAGATGTCATTTATTCAGAAAGCACTTGAGCTATTTTGTAGCAAATTTTTAACTCTTCATTGCTCGTGTAACTCAAGTAGAATTTTTGAAGATTTTTTTATTATACTTAACATTCAGCCTGACCTACTAAGTAATTTTAATATTTGAGTTCCTTTTTTTTGTTGTTTTCTTCTAGCAAAGCTTTTATTGATAAATTTATTTATTTGTTTTTGACTGTGTTGGGTCTTCGTTGCTGTGCATGGGCTTTCTCTAGCTGCAGGGAGCGGGGGCTACTCTTTGTTGCGATGCGCAGGCTTGTCATTGCGGTGGCTTTTCTTGTTGTGGAGCACAGGCTGTAGGCGTGCGGGCTTCAGTAGTTGTGGCGCATGGGCTCAGTAGTTGTGGCTCGCAGGCTCTAGTGTGCAGGCTCAGTAGTTGTGGCGCACGGGCTTAGTTACTCCGCGGCATGTGGGATCTTCCCAGACCAGGGCTTGAACCCATGTCCCCTGCATTGACAGGCGGATTCTTGACCACTGACCCACCAGGGAAGTCCAACTTTTATTGATACTTTTTAAACCAAATTTTACTTCAAGGAAATAAGGTAGATAACTTATTTATTCATTCATCCAAATTGCACTGTAACTGTTGAAGGCTGTCAGAAAATCAGAGACATTACTGTTCTCGCGTAGCTTATGCTCTATGAGGGAGAAAACCCATATACAGTATTCCCTTCATATCCATGGGATTGGTTCCAGGGCCCTGCAGATACCAAAATCCAGGGGTACTCAGTTCCCTTATATAAAATGGTATAGTATTTGCTTATAACCTCCTGTATACTTTAAACCATCTCTTGATTTCCTATAATACCTCATATAACATATTGCTATGTAAATAGCTGTAAGTACAATGTAAATAGTTGTCTGTGTGGCAAATTCAAGTTTTGCTTTTGAGAAGTTTCTGGAATTTTTTTTTCTGAATATTTTTGATCTATGGTTGGTTGAATCCGTGGATGTGGAAACCACAGAAAAGGAGGGCTGACTGTATACAGATACAAAGGAGAAAAGTATGTGTGATGTTTAGGGAATGGTTGCATTTGACAAGGAAGCCTCGCGGAGAGGAAAGTATAGAGGAAAGGCAGTAGTTTGAACTGGCCCTTCCATTTTAGACCCTCCCTCTTGGAGGGAAGGGCCAGGACTAGAAGAAGCATCCCAGACACAGAGGCTTTATGTGAAGGATATTCTCAGGGAACATCAGGACCAAGACAGGTGAAAGGGAGTAGTAATACTTTCAGGTAAACTGAAATTCAGATATGTTCCTTTCTTTCTTAATAAATAGCCCTGTTACATTTCTGCCATTATTTAAAAAAAAAAAATTGTAGTCTCTTACACTATCATGCTTACAGACTCATATCCAAAGGGCGTACTCAGTGGTAGAGCTCTTTATCTTACATCTGAATAGTGGAATCACATCTTACATGGGGATTATATTCTGAAGTCAGAGTGTAAGGTAAAATGTATAAAGTCAGAATTACCCTTCAAAAAAGATACCATGGTGGAGATTACCACACCATTGCTCAGTATGCCAAACAACCAGTTTTTCCTTCATATCCGAAACAGATAGATGTTCTTTAGTTGGTTTCTGGTTGAAGCACTAGGTTTGTATATACGGGATATCTGATAGAACTGTAAAGAGAAATTGAATTATTGATACATTTGTCTTACGAGTCCCTGAGACCGCCTCTAGATTCTGTGGTCTTCTAGAAGTGCTTACTGAACTCAGAAAAGCTGCTGTACTCACAGTCATGGTTTATTGCAATGAAAGGATATATAATAAAATCAGCAAAGAAAGAAGGTGCATACAGTGGAGTTAAGGAGAAACCAGGCACAAACTTTCAGTTGTCCCCTCCCAGTGGAGTCACATGGACAGTGTTTATTCCTCTCAGCAGTGATGCGTGACAACATGTGCGGAGTGTTGCCAACCAAGGAAGTTCACCCAAGCCTTGGTTTCGGGGTTTTTTTTAATTAGGGGTCAGTCACATAGGCATGGAGCACCCACATGACTGACCTTAACTGCTCAATCTTCAGTCCCCCTAGAGGTCAGACTGGTACTGCAGCCTAAGGCCCCAGGCAAACAAACATAAATCATATTGTTGGCCTGGCCCAAGGCCCCAGGTAGACAGAGACACTCTTAACAGGCAGGATATTCCAGGGGCATAGAGATTATCTCCCAGGGGCTAGTCATGGGCCGGGTCTGAAAACCTTTGGAATGTGCGGGGTTTGGGCAGCCCAGGCCTGATGGGTTAATCCTTTACTGCACAACATTAAACACTTAGAAAGATTTAAGCTCATTAAGAGTATCATCCATTATGTTATTCAAGCCATTTATAATATTGTTTTTAACACAAATTATTTAGTATTATTCTCTGTGGTTAGACAACCTTTAGTAAAAGATAAAGGCATAATCTAGTTTTTATAAACTATTTTCTAATCTTGAAGACAATTTTTTAAAATACTTATTTTGTTTCTGGGGTTTTTTTTTCTTTGTTTTTTTTTAAAATGATCTGATGCATTGGGTTTAGAAATATATCTAACCATTTGAAATCTCTGACTGTAAAAATCATCTTTCTAGTGATTCCATTGTAAAAGGATTTTCTATTTCAGGAATTCCGTGAGTGAAACTGTCAGACTGGTCAGTGGCATACAGCATCCTGGATCTGCAGGGGGCATTTATGAGACAACCCAGCACTTCAATGACATCAAAGAGCACCTCCACATAGTGAAGCGGGACATAGATAGCTTAGTGCAGCGAAATATGGTAAGCTCTTTTTTCTTCTAGTTTATGATTATCACAGTCTTCTTTTGGAAAGGAAAACCACATATTCCACTGAAAATATTTTAACTTTTAAATTAATGCCAGTGCTCCTTCTTAATATTCAAGGTAGAATTACTCCGTATGATTCGAATGTCTACGTGCTCCATATCATGCTTCCATAGCCTATTGAATAGAATTTTTTAAAAAATAAATTGCTATTCCAGTCAGTGGAGTCATCACAATCTCAGACTTTTTTTGTTCTAGGTTCTTTTCTATAAGTTCTCTTTTAAAAACATGTCTCTTGTTATCAGTAATGATACCTTTAAACGGCTCTGAACAAGGTAAATGTCTCTCGACACACCCATTTGTTAGACAGACGGGCACCAGGTAATTCATATTTCTCTGTCTAGGCTGTTCAGGAAGTGCAGATCTAAAACTGGCTGACAGATAGCAGCTTTCTTTAGGCAAGATTTTTGTTCGTTTCCAGCTACTTTCCTGTATTACTTGGTTCATTTCTTAAAGTTTTATTTTATTTACTTTATTAGGTCTTTTTTGGAGTGTAAGTCCCATCTACATTTTTGGAGATAGGCAATAAATATTAAAAATAGGTAGCATATTTTTGAAGTTTAACATGCATAGGAGATATTATTTAGAAGACAGATCCCTGGAACTTTTAAGTTTCTTCCTAACTTATTTACTGGCTTTGAAAACCCTTATAAAATTCACAAATGTTTGTAGCGTTTGCCTCCTCCCTTCCAGTTTTTCAAATATAGCTTAATAGTTTTCTTATTGACCATTTTACCTCCCATCCAAAGCATTGTCATCTATTCCCTTAGTTCTATTTGAGTTTATTTCCCCCCAACTTTTGCCTTTGTTGCAACGGCCAAGTTGATGCTGTGGGTAGTATATATCAATACATAGTGAAGACCTTTGTCCCATAGGTGTGAGCATATTGAGAACAACTAACCTTAGAAGCCATTCTGTCTGGATACCTTGATGAAATCTCTGTCCCTGGTATTTAATTACTTGCTTGTAATAAAATGAATCATCATGGAAATAGGAAAAGAAACGTTTTCCAAGATACTAATTAGTGATGTTGAATGTTAGGAGATTGGGGCGGATGAGAGCTGAGAAAAGGCCATTATTTCTGTCAGGTAGTTCACTGGTGGGGCAACTGTGTAATTGTGTGAAATAGAACACTTGAGAGTGAGGGTGCTGCTATTAATAATTGCTCTAGTACAGCAAGTATAAACTGGGAGTGTCGAGGGAACTGGTGACCTGTGACCTTCAAGGACACCAAAATCATTGTCACTGTGATGAAGGTAGAAGCCAGACAGCAATGAGTTAGTGACAGGACAGAGAAAGAGTGGAGGCCTTCCCACGTTGCCTGCTCTTTCAAAAAGTTTGGTGGTGAAAGTTAAGAGGGTGGAAGGCAATTATGAGATGAATTAATGAAAATACTTGAGTTTATACAGTAAGTCATGAGTTTTATAAAGATTTCACATTTATTTCCTTTTCTAAAATACTGATTTGACTAATTGTAATAGAAAGTTCTTTGCCTTATAGCCAGCAAATGAAAGACTGAAATGTCCAGAACTACCGCCATTTCCATCGTGTCTATCTACGGTGCACTTTGTTGTATTTGTAGTGGTACAAACGGTGTTATTCATTGGTTATATCATGTATAGGTAAGTCTCTAAAATTTGACCCAACATTTTTCTGTATTTATTTAACTTGAGATATTCAATAAGGTTATCAAGGTCCATAATAGAACTTTCAATACCTATAAAATTAGGTTCATACAAAGCAAATATTATGTCTAGTCTATTTCAGTTCACATGGGAATACACGTGTAGGACATATGTTTATCTTCATGTATTTCATACTTCAAAAGGCATTTTTAATTTTATGCAATCCTGTTTCATTCCAATGTAAAGTGTATAGAACTTCTTTCAGTTTGTTTTTTTGTTTTGTTTTTGTTCTCTTTTTCCGTAGGACTCAGCAAGAAGCAGCTGCCAAAAAATTCTTTTGACCACCATTTTCATATGTGTACATCATGTATGTATGTACAAAATGTCTTTTTGAGGGAATTTAAGTATTTAAATTGCTTCGTAGTCTAAATTATTAAATTTTGTATAAAATAACTGTTTAAACATTGACTTGAATAAGAATAAACCTTAAAGACAACCATATGTAAATTTGTGCATAGTACATAAATCTATTTAAATTTCAGTGAATTTCTGGCCAGTAGAATACAGCCACTGAACAGAATATTGATAAATCAGAGGGTAAATAACAGAAAGGGGGCACCCCCGTATATGAAAGTTACCCCTAAGTCTCTGATGTTGGAAGTTTCTGTCTTTAGCATAAGCACCCTTGCCCCCTTGCCCCCCGCCAAAATAAGAGGTCTGAGAGCTACCCATCGTGTTTATTCTGTAACCAAAGCCTTTTTTTTAGAGGCCAGGATTTCCTACTCGAAGACTCAGTCCTGCAGTCCTTGAGCCTAATACAGCTCCCTTTGAAAGCAAAGAATGTTTTGTCTGAGGGCGTTAGGATCTGGATAATAGGCTTCAGAATGTTTATTGAAGTATTTTTTCCCTTCTGATTATCAATGATATATTTCACTTTTAAAGGAAGTTGGAGGGGAGAATTAAGAGCTGCTTTTTGCCTGAAAACGCGTTTAGGTGACAACATTCCTCTGACAATGGTTTTTATGGGTATTTTACCTAGCGGTGTGTTCATTTCGTGATTGCTCATATTCTTGAATGTCTTATGTTCCAACAGTGTCAGTTCAATATTAGGAAAATTACTCTGCGTTTATATCTCTAAATTCAACTCAGATTGCATGTCCTGAGTATATTTTAAGGTCATTAAAAACTACCACTGCATTCTGATTTACATCACTCCATGCAACCTGGCGTTTGTGATGCTGCATATTTGTGGAAATCAAGAAGGCAGTAGTAGAAGCAGTGTTAAAGTTTTTGAAGGCAAAATTTGAAAAATAGTGTTAGCACTTCTGATTTCTTTCTTTTAATGCCAGAACTAAGGATATTGTGAAGCACTTGTTAGTAAGTTAACTTTGAAACATCAGGCTGGAAGGGGTTGTTGTACATAGTTCTAGGTATAGTAGAAACAATCTGTAAATGACATTTTGTTTTCACGACTGATGTAGACTTCAAAATATCCTTTTACTTTACCTCTTCTAGCTAGCTAAAACGATACCTTTCATTTGTCACAGAATCGAAAATAGTACCGTTTTGTAAACAGCACTATCTAATTCTTCACAGCCTTCATAAATTTGCTCTTAGTTGTCATTTACAGACTGGACTAACTGCTGAAAACCCATACAAAGGCTCTAAAGAGCTCTGCATTATAGCAGTACCTAACTAGCACTACATATGCAAACGGTCCTAGCACGGCTTTCTTACAGTAGCCTTTATCCTGGAACGCTGAACAGGAACATTCTAACGATCACTCTCATACCAACAGCCACTCCAACACAGAACTGCTTTGCTAGCATTTTTCCTTGTAGTGTTAGCATTTTGAAATTCATATTTCAGAGACATCATCATCACAGAATTTACTCTTATTCCATGAAAAAAAAATTAATACCTTCAGAAGAATGTTTCAGTTGTAGACTGTGAGACTTGGAAATCCTCTTGAGATAAAAGGTTGCAAAATACCCAGTATTATAAAATCCATGGTCACGTGTGCCTGAACTTAAAGAAATGTTAGACCTATGCAGTATACGAGCATGAACCTTCTTTTCTTTCGTACTGATTTAATTTGCTGAAAATCACTCAGTAAATCGGTTCATACAAGTTACCATATTATTGGAAATTTGGTTTATTTTCCTCAAAATCGTCAACTTTAAGTAGCTCATTTCTGTAGAAAAATGTTTTCTCTGTGGAGAAATCAGTCACTGCCAGGACTCTTTCATTTCTGTACTATTTTATATAATTGAATTTAACTTCTCTCACACCAGCAAGTATTTTACAGGTGCCTTGGATTAAAACAAAACTGATTTTACAATTTTAGTGTAAGTCTTTGTGCTTATGCCACTTTAAAAAAGAAATGCAATTATATTCAATATAATGGTTAATACTCTTATTTAACGTAACTCTTCGTGTTGTAATTGTTTGAATGTTTTATTCAGCTTGAAACTCTGTGAGGCCACAATATTTTGTTACGTATTAAAGGGATAATAGTGCTTCTCAGAGTGTGGTCTGTGGTCCATCTGGATCCTGGAGTGCTTGTTAAGAATACCGATTCCATGCTCAGCTCCAAACCACCTGAAGCAGAACTCAGGGGTGGGGGCTTCAGAATATCAGTCTTCAGCAGGCACCTCAGGTGATTCTGAGCACACTGCTGTTGAGAAGCGCTAAGATGGGGGGTGAACAGAAGTCTCTTGTTAACTTCAAAGCTGAGCTGAGAGCTGATGTAACGTTTTCATTGTCAATGACATTAGCAAATGTGCACTGATTCTCTTATACTTACAATTTTTTACTTAATGTTCTTTTTACTAAAACTCCTGGTTTATTACAATTACAAACTAAACCCAGATTGCTGCTTGTAGCTCTTGGTACTTTGCTTGACAGCTCTTAAACGTACAAAAGCATCTTCAGATCATGGTCAAGCCATGAAAACCCCCATCTTCAAGATGGCCTGCTAAAGCTTTTTGCTTTGCTCATTGTGATTTTTGTGACATTTTATCTCAGACAGTTGTACTTTTTGATAACTTGGGGAAAACAAAAATTACTTGAATAAGAGATTGCCTGACCCTCTGCGTTGCAGAGATACAATCCTTGTAAAGAACATTAAGTGACAGTTGTGAATATTAAGATGTGATTATCTTTTCCTGTCCATGTGCTTATCGCAGGGAGATAGTGAACAAATGGTTATATTGGGGATTTTTTAATTTATAAGATCTAATGTAAAATCACCACTTGCAACTTTTTAGATCTGTATGTTGCCTGTTTATTTCTTTTAAAGTTTAAAAGGGTTTTCTATCCACTGTTGATTTCAATTGGATAACATTTTGTCAAGTGTTTTTTTCTGATTGTTAATTTGATGCTAGCTGGAATTCAAGAAATGACATTGACCTTATTCAAATAAAGAAATATTTTAGTAAATTTACTTTTTTCCTTCATGGGTCTCGGGTAATAAGTAGTTATTTATTTCCCAAGTAGGCCCCGACTTGTGATAGTATTTCATGTGTCACGTGCTTTGCGTTCTGCCCTAGGTGGCCTACCACCTGCAGAGTCAATACATGGAAGCATAAGAAGAGAATAAGAAATGATAATGGATCAATGCTTACCCTTGCTGGTAATGAAAAACACAAAATAATTAAAACAACGTATTTGATGTTTTCATCTTTAATAACCAAATACCGGTAATGGTGTGGCTAAACTGGAACTTTTAGTCATTACTAATGGCAGTTTTATAAATAACTTTTCCTCTCTTTGGCAAGCACCATTCAACCAAGCAATTCCAATTCTGAGAGTCCATGGGGTATAAAAAGGAAAGAGTAGAGCTTTAGCGTCAAACAAATCCGAGTTTAAATCTTGACTTTGCCACTTACTAAAGATGACCTTCAGTTTCCTCATAACACTTCTGTCTCAGGGTTGGTAGCTTTGTAAAGATGGTCTTTATAAAGTGGTTTCAGAATATGGAAACTAACGTAATGGACCCTTGTGCTATAAGCCCACAGAAAATACTGAGTAATGTAAAATTAAAGAATTAAATTAGATAGGTTTGAAAGAAATCAGAGGAAACTTAAAGCCTGATCAGTGAGCCTTCTGTTGGGGGTGGGGGGGGGCAGTGCTGGAAACTAGACACTGGTTGGGGCACTGGGGACATGGCCATAGTAAAGATTTGGGATTTTGTTCAAGTATGATGAGAAGCCTTTGGAGGAGGGGTAACGCTTAGTCCTGTTTCACCTGGAGTATTTATTTTCCCTTTCTGGAGGATTCCACACACAGCAAAGAGTTGCTGAATGTCCAAGTGGAAAGGCCATTATAATAAACTGAGGAATAAAAAGCTTTTAAAGACGTGATCCCACTTCCAATGGAATCATCTTTTGGGAAGACAATGGAAGATTTGATTTCACAAAGCACCACCAGGGAGTATTCATTTGTCACACTGATGTAGTTACCACGTAAGAGTTTCTGTGATGCTTGACACCCACCCCTCCCCAGCCTACCCCCATCCCACACACACAGACAGACAGAAGAGGACTGGACAGGGAGAGGCTGCTTCACCAACTGGCTTTGGAGTTTAGAATTGAGACCCTCACCATTCATAATATTTCCTAATTCCTAATAAAATGGAATTTTAAAATCTAATAATTTAATAACTTAGAATAACTTATAAAATGGATTTTTATTTTAAATAATAATTTAGAGATCATGGTTTGAATGTATTAAGTCCCAGGCAACACATCTTAAAGTGGAAGTGGAGCTAAGTATGAATGTACGTTCTCAATCAGAGAGCACCGAGAAAAGTTTCTATTTCACCCTAAATCTTTGTTAATCTTTCAAATTGAGACCATTTTAGCAACAATTTTAAATTGGTTAGTAAGATGAAAAGCAGATCTTAAGATACATTAAAAAAAGCATTTTAGGCAAAAATCCAGTTTGTATAGTTCTGTACAATCTGAGGGATCGTCATCTATTTCCTGAAAGGGCTCATGCCTACAGATAAAATAATAAGCATAGGTTACTAATAGGCTGTATCTTTTCCCTCTGCCCCACCTGCTCTTGGAGTGCTTTAATTAGAAAGATACTAACATAGATTAAAGTCTTAGCCATGCTCAAATTCCTCCCCTGACCTGGAGAAAACCACAGCCACTGAGAATCTGTGTTACAAAACATTGTCAAAAGTTTTCTCCAAGTAACACCAGTGAGCTTAAATAGAGCACCCAGGAAGTGACTGCGTGTAAGAGGAAAAGGTGACCTCGATACACACTGATGATTTGACTCGTGTTCTTACCTTCTGGATCAGAGCAGTTAAAGTATCCAGCGCGTCATTTCCATGCAAAAGTGTAACGATGCAGGAGCAGGCTAGGGTAATCCAGATGTAAGTGGAGGACCCTCTTGCCTCTTGCCTCAGTTGGGTATTTATGTACAGGACACAGTAACCGCTGAAACAGTATAGAATTCAAGCAAATCCTTGCATAGTACTTAGAGTCCAATGAGATAAAATGATGGATCAAAGGATTATTTTTGCTTAATGAAGCATTTCGGGTTTTGAGTCTCATTGGACTCAGTTTTCAACAGGATGTTGTCCTCAAGGGCTGGAATTTGGAAATTTCACTACAGCCATGTAATCGGTCTGCTCTGATTAATTTAATTGAACCAACTCTTGATGAAGCCCTGCTGGCTTATAATTTAGAAATGGGTAGGGAGAGGGATGGATAATGTGAAGGATTTTTTCCCCTCTGAAATTAGCTTAGTGTATTCAGAAAGTAGTTGGTTGCGTCTGGTCGTATGCTTTAGTAATCTGAACCATCTGCCTCTCTATACTAAGGAGTTCACCTCTTTAATCCAGCTTACAGCGCACAAACCACTCTTCTGTATCATTATGCCCTTGAATAGATGAGCCTGTGCGAAGTCCTCTGCTTTTAAATGTGTTGCTGTCGTTGAAGATATTTAGAGGTTTTGTGGGGGTTTTATTTCCTTCAGGTTTTGTCTTGAGTTTTCGGTATTCTTTTTCTGGGGCAGAAACAATGGCTTTCCTTATGAAAACTATGATAAGTAGTCAGGTAAAGAATTTAGGACTTGGTGGCAGGTCTGAAGAAAAAAAAGAAGAAGGAGGTACATCTGATCCTGCAGCAGCTCAGGGGATGACTAGAGAGGAATATGAGGAATACCAAAAGCAAGTGATCGAGGAGAAGTGAGTACATGCAACTTCATTTCCTTTTAAAAGCACAAAGAAATTCATTCTGGCCAGACTGTCTTCAGCTCCCCAGTTTCTACCTCTTTGCTCTTTAGATGCCTTTCCTCATGCTGTTTGCTTCTAACCTGAGGAAAGTCTGTTCTGCTAAAGTGAACCATTTCCTAGCATCAGCAGTTACTATGTCCTACTTGTATGAAGGGAAATGAAAAATACGAAATAAATCTGCATGTTGTCCTGAAAGCCACTGAACACTTTCTGATCCAGACACATTTTAATTGACCTCAATTGTTCAAATGAAAAACTGTGCCTAAATAACTTTACAGTCGTGAGGAAATTCACCCTCCTAGCAAGTAGAAAGCTTTCAAATTGTGAAAATTCAGACTTTGCACTTGGAAGAGGGCCTTAAAGAACGTAGAGTACGGTGTTCTTGATCTTACATGTGCAGGAAAAAAAGGCTAGAAAATACGACATGACAATTATGTCATAAAACTTGCTTCTCAAAGACTGAATAAATGTGTGGACTGCCTATTATGAAAAATTTAAAGATGGAGAAGAGCACAACAGTATAATGAATGCTCTTATATACCTATGGCATAAAACTGACAGTTGACGTTTTGCCATATTTGCTTATAGATGATCATCTCGTTAGATCATAGACAGATACATGGAAACGTAGATAGATACAGAGAACCATTTTTAAAGTAAATTACAGACATCACGATACTTTACCTCTAGATACTTTGGCTATATACCTCCAAAAAATAAGGACATTCTTCTGGCTATATAAAATGTAATAAAAATAAAACAGTAACATTTCAGTTGGGTATTATGGAATGTGAATATCACCAATTTTTCACTGCTGAAGACTGATCTTTAAATAAGTGTAATATAGATGTAATTTTTTAAAGTTTAAGGTAGAATTAATTTGAGTCTTAATAATCAAATCAACTTGAGTATTGAAGCATCAATCTTGAAGTTCAATGTACATTGTATGTTACAAAAGTATTTCTTTTTGCCACCATGGCTGTTTTGCTAATGATCAATTACATAATAGTTGCCTAGGTCCTATTGCTAAGATGATTAGAGGTGAAAGGGTTAATGACCTGGAGGAAACTAAGAAAGCATAAAAGCCTGCATTTAATGGAAACCTTGTCTATTGTATTTTTTCCTGAAAGAAATTGTGACTTACACAACTACCTAGAATGTATTATGCTTGGCTCTGCGGTAAATTTAAGATCAGTTTTTTTTTTAAAATGCAACTGCAAAAATAATGTTTGTGCTAAAATAATACTTAGGCAAAAAAAGGCATCATTCCTTGGCATGTTTAAAAAAAAAAAACACATGTATAATGAAACAGAAGCAGAATAGCACCAAATGTTCTCAGCTCAAGGGGCCCAATAAAAAGAAAATGGTCAGAAATATAGACTATATACCTGATATTAAAATATCACTCAGTATGTCCCAGCAATAAATCTGGTCACAGATACGGCATCTGTTTGATTAACTAATGACCTTGTTTTACTTAATTTTACATCTGGACAGATGAAAGACCGAAATAGTCGAATGGTATGGTCAGTCAGTGGATTGGGTTGTTGACCAGCTACTCAGGGGTGTGTGTGTGTGTGTGTGTGTGTGTGTGTGTGTGTGTGTGTGTGTGTGTGTGTGTGTCATGTGTGTGTGTTATACATTTATGTGATCAACCAATTTAAGCAATAGTAGCAGGACGGTGAGGTTGGCCGGCTTTCCCATGGCAAGAGGCATGACTTCCTGTCCATTGCTTGAGTTTTCAAGAGCTTCATCACCTAGAATAGAATACAACATAAAGAAGTAGGCATCAGGGAACTATACTCAATATTTTGTAATAACCTATAAGGGGAAAGAATCTGAAAAAGAATATGTATATATATAAAACTGAGTAACTTTGCTGTACACCTGAAACTAACACAACCTTGTAAATCAATTATACTTCAATAAAAAAATAAAATGTGTAAATGAGAGCAACTATTACAGTGAAAAAAAAGATGATTCCAAAACTTGGAGTCAAGAAATAGAAACCAGTTTAGCCACCTGAAAATGAAAACAGGGAATTTATTTTAAGGCAAATCATGCTTCATGCAAAGATGCTTCACCAAACCCATAACAGAAATCCCCCCAGGCCTCATATGGGCCTGAACCAGGACCAGAGCATTGCTGAGAAGCCACGAGCCCTCGTTTTCAATCTCGCCGTGGCTTCCACCTCGGTATGGCTGCTTTGTTCTTTCGGGGCAGTCAGCCCTCTACTTGGTCCTCTACCCAAACCACGTGGCCAGTGAAAAATGGCAGCCGACATCCCCCGAATTCACCCATTACAGCTCGAGCCACACTACTGGTCTCTTTCTCAGTCCCAAACCCGAATTCCCAGAGAAGAAAGTCCATTTATCCAGCTTGGTCCAATCCTGTACAGCCAGAGGGCGGGGCCAGGTACATAAATATAGCCTCCAATAATGCACTTCTTTGGGCAGCTGGGAGAAGAGGTGGTGAATGTGAGCTTCACAGACGTCCCTGAAGGTGTCCACTTCTCTCTGGATCATCTTGAGCAAGGGAGCCCACTTCAAACCAGCACCATCACAAGTCCAATTAGGCCGCCCGCAGGGCATTATGGAAATCCATACCCTACCTTGTTTGAGGATGCCTCCCTCCAAACAGGGAAGGGAACACTGAACCTAAGTTGGGGCTTAGAAGGTGACCTTGTTTATTTTATTTTATGTTTTTACATTTTTACTGGAGTCTGGTTGATTGACAGTGTTGTGAAGGTGACCCTGTTCAGCTTGTGTAAGAATCGCCAAGGGAGTTTGTTAAAAGTGTTGATTCTCAACTGTGGGGCTACGATGGAAGCAGGGAGATCATTTAAACGGCCAGGGCCTCTGCAATCAAGTGGGCCGGCATAGTATTTATGATAGAGAAAAGTGGACAGGCCATTTCCATGCCGGGCAGTAGAGGCCCAGGGAGATTGCTGAATTCAAGAGCAGCTGGTTTAAACAGTGCTTGAGAAAAATTAATCTTCCAGCCAGTGATATGCTGGAGCTGACCTACAGCAGCCTGCACTGACTCATGAAAGCTGACTGTGTTCATCTCTCCCCAATTCCTCATTCAGCGACATCAAGTTGATAGTTTGAAATCCGCCTGGGTGGGAGTATTTACACCATGGAAATTGGCAAGTTCTACAAACAGCTTCTTTCCCCAAAGAGCTGGTTGTGATACGTTTGCCAGCACACCACTGCTTCCAGCTCTTTTGATAGAATACTTTAGTCAACAGACTACTATTTAAAGAATCACTGCACAAGATACGGTATGGAGTAACAGAATATTCGTGAAGCTGCTATAGTTAAAATGAAAGGGATGGTTATGAGAGACGCTGGGAAGAAAAAGTCTGCAAGACTTGGTGGTTTATAAATGGCAACAATGGAAAGAGAGGAGCAGATGTGTTTTCTCCCCTGGACGAAGGCATCGTTTCCAGAACACATCTCTCTTTGGTAAGATTACAGAGAGAACATTTCACAATTGGATTCCCTGCCGTATGTTTAAATGTCCCTGCTTCAGCTGTCAAGGATTTCAAGTGCTTTTTAAAAGTTCCACATTATTGTAGCTCAGAGTTCTGAATTCTATCACAATTTATTGGTGAAATTAAATGAACAGAATAATAACTGAATCTCAGACTCTCAGTCACTGAGTGTAACTGTCTTGTGGAAACACAGCTCTGCAGAGATCTGAAGGAGAACATCCTTTAAAACTCAAAACTGGTGACTTCCCTGGTGGTCCAGCGGTTAAGACTCCACGCTTCCACTGCAAGGGGCGTGGGTTCCATCTCTGGTCAGGGAACTAAGGTCCCGCATGCCGCATGGTGTGGCCAAAAAAAAATAAAAACTCAAAAATGTCTTCCACTTTGGGAATGTTGCAGAATCAAGGCAGCATGGGGTGGAGACGGACTCAGACCTTAAATAGATACGTGGAAAGTCCACATGAGGGTTTAATAAAGGGCATCAGGAAAGGAAGTAGAAGGAGATGCTAGGGGTTTGCTCCAAACATTTTTTTCTGTAAAAATAAGTGTTCTGTAGAATTTAAAACTTATGTCCCAGGTACAAACTATTATGTATAAAATAAGCTACAAGGATATATTGTAACACAACACAGGGAACACGGCCAATATGTTATAATAATTATAAATGGAGTACAACCTTTAAAAATTGTGGGAAAAAGGGGGGAGGGGGAAATTCCCTGGAAGTCCAGTGGTTAGGACTCTGTGCTTCCACTGCAGGGGGCACGGGTTCAATCCCTTGTCAGGGAACTAAGATTCCACATGCCACATGGTATGGCCAAAAAAATAAAAATTGTGAATCACGATATTGTACACCTGTAACACAATATTGTACAGCAACTATATTTCAATTTTTTGAATTTAAAAAATAAATAAAACTTATGTCCCAAGAATGACACTCAACATCCTTTGTCACAGCTCATACACCTAGCATTTCTAGAAGAACTAAATGTGTTAACCCCTAATAAATATAATAAAATAAGAAACAAAATGATTTTTAAAATGTAGCTTCTCTCCACAATGCAGTCGGACTGGGAAGCTGCGTTCTTAATGAGCGCTCCGGGTGATTCTGACGCTTGTGGTCTCAGGTTGTACTTAGAGAAACATAGTGAGGTCGGGTCTACATCAGGAGTAATCACCCTGCCCCTCCCCCGGGGTGCATCAGAAAGAGATTCCCAGAACTGAGCTGTCTTTGGGATTTAGGGTCTGTACTGCGTTATGATAGTGGAATGACAGACAGAGAGGCAGAAATTTGGGGATGTAGGAAAAACTCCCCTATTTCCCATTTGTCTGCCGGCAGTGGGAACTAAGAAGGTGTGTCCCAGTGTCTGGCTCCCCTGAGCAGCGGCTGGAATGGCCTTAGCTCTCTTCGTCCTTTGATCCTTTATTCTATTCTTTTACTTTTAGGATGGAAAGAGATGCTGCATTTACACAAAAAAAGGCAGAGAGGGCGTGCCTCAGAGTTCACCTCAGAGAAAAATACAGACTCCCAAAGGTGAGACACTCAACACAGTAAACATCCAGTCATTTTTTACGTAATAAGAAATGGAAAGTGTTTGATTATCAGCAAAGGGTCACACTCACGGGTATATATATATATATATATATATAACATGTATATACACACACATAGATGTACATATATATAATACATAAATATATTTATATGCCTTAATCGTAATTGAGGTATATGATATAGTGAAAATAGCATTGAACTTGTTCATAAAAACTAGATTCCAGTCTATTAACCTCTGAACTTGCATTTCCTCTCAACAAAATGGAGTAATACCTGTTTATGTAAATTTATCTAAAGACTATAGAACATTTATATATAAATGCACAATGGGGATAATCATCACAGCTGACATTTCTTGAGCTCCTTCCTAAGTGCCAGGCACTGTTCTAAGTGCTTGGCACATATCAATTCATTTAATCCTCAGGACAGTCTTGTAAGGTAGGTTTCTTAGAGGAAACAGAGGAAGAAAGAGAGTAACTACCCTCCGGCCAAGGGCCATGCTGCCAGGCAAAACAGAGCCCAGGGTCTTAACTTCTATGACATTCTTCCTCCACGTCAGAGGAACAATCCGTTCCTTCCTTTTGGAGATGATGTGGTGGTGATGGTCATCACCGAGCACCTGGCTGAGAGGACAAACTCCTGTGGGCTTTGGTCAAGTAGCTGGTCTCCAAAAGTCATGGGTCTGACTCGTAAACTAAAAACTGCTTGCAAGGACTTCCCTGGTGGCGCAGTGGTTAAGAATCCGCCTGCCAATGCAGGGGACACGGGTTCAAGCCCTGGTCCGGGAAGATCCCACATTCCGCGGAGCAACTAAGCCCGTGCGCCACAACTACTGAGCCTACGTGCCATGGCTACTGAAGCCCGTGTGCCTAGAGCCTGTGCTCTGCAACAAGAGAAGCCACTGCAATGAGAAGCCCGCGTACCACAACTAGAGAAAGCCTGCGCGTAGCAACGAAGACCCAACGCAGCCATAAATTAATTAATTAATTAATTAAATTAAAAACAAAAAAACTGCTTGCAGTGCCCTCTACTGCACAACTGTTTTACCTTTGCCTGGGAGGTGGGAACAGGATATGTTGACATGATCTGGCACAGGGCTCGGATGCACTGCTCCAGGGCTTGTATCCAGGGGTGACCAAGGGCCTAGTTCCCTGCTCCCGACTCGCATCTCATTTCCCCTACCTGGGGATCGCCCAGCTCCTCTAAATGACTCCACCTCCACCTTCTGGGTTGGCTGTCCAACTCCCCCTTCCAGAGGGGCACCCTCCCTGAGAGAACATCTTCCACCTGGAGAAGCCAAAGAGATCCTTCCAAAGCACATGGTCTTCTCGCAGGGATGAGAGCCAGCGGGCTGGGCGGTTTAGAAAGTGCAGCTAAACCAGTTGCTTCAGTGGGTCCCCTGCAGATCCCTGGGAAAACTGACTTCAGAAGCTGCAAGCTGTAAACAAAGGGAGCGAGCCCATTGCCCACAAGGTCACTGCTGAAGCCACTGAAGAGGTATAGAGCCCCGCGCCCGGGAGACATTGATCCTAAGACGGACGTGCTCACTGAGGGGGGAAAACTCACAATAAAATTTAAACTCATGTTCATTTGCAGCCAATGAGTTTCGAAAAGAGTGCCTTGCTTTTTGCCCACCTTATTCCAGGTTAGTACTTTTTCCCACCGGGACTGCATTTTGGGAGTGTGGAGCACTTCTAACACGGTCCCTCCGCTCCTGTTGCCTGAATTTCCTGAAGCTCCCTGGGATGGCCAGGCTGTGTTTAGCAATGTGACAGCAGATTCCCGCCGCTCAACTGAAGCCCCGCCCTCCCGCCTCCCGCCTCCCGCCTCCCGCCTCCGGTATCTGATGAAAGCACCACACATCTCGTTTGGAAGGAAGCAGGAATTAAGTGCACTTGCGTGCTTGCGCACACACCCACACACACCATCAACTGGCTGTGTCTGTTCCAGAAAGGTGGGGCTTTTTTGTGTTTTTTAAATTTTATTTATTTTTGGCTGCGTTGGGTCTTCGTTGCTGCACGCGGGCTTTCTCTAGTTGCGGCGAGCAGGGGCTATGCTTCCTTGAGGTGCATGGGCTTCTTATTGCGGTGGCTTCTCTTGTTGCGGAGCCCGGCCTGTAGGCGCGCGGGCTTCGGGAGTTGTGGCTCATGGGCTCTAGAGCGCAGGCTCAGTAGTTGTGGCGCATGGGCTTAGTTGCTCCGCGGCATGTGGGATCTTCCCGGACCAGGGCTGGAACCCGTGTGCCCTGCATTGAAAGGCGGATTCTTAACCATTGCGCCACCAGGGAAGTCCCAAAGGTGGGGCTTTTTAAGAATACATATATATCTGTTGTTGTTGAGGATATATTTTTGACGACTGTTCTGTTGTTTGGTGAAGATATAAGGAGAACTGGCTTTCAATTCTGGCTCTGACATCTGCAATCTCAGATGTTTTTTTAATATATCTGAGCCTCCATTTCCTCATCTATAAAATGGGGGCAGTGATACCTACTTCCTGAGGTCTTTGTCTGAGATAATAAGGTGTGCCTGACAAGGCGAGTGCCTGACGAGTGGAAAGCGCTCCATGGATGATCGCTCTAATTGCTGTTATTATCTCCATGCACAAAAGTTTTATTTCTTGATAATAACAACCAGGGGTCTTGGAGGCCTGGGGTGGGCACCCTGATGTTTGTAAACAAGGCAAGAATTGGAGGTCCCTGCACCACAAGTATCTGAGCTTTGTTGGTGAGTCCACGGTCCTGCTCACCTCAGTTCTCAGGGGTGGACGCCTTCGGGCTTTGTAAAATGAGTTTGATGCTCTTCAGAGAAAAAATAATTCCCAAATCTCTGAGCCAAGCTGTCCTTTGAAACAAGAGCCTTTCCAACAGAAACTATGGGAAGAAGGGAGAATTATAGCCACATAACGTACAGATTCATATCCTCCCTGGAGCGATAGTGACTCTATCTGCATAGGCTACTGCTCCCTAAAGCCAGCTAGAGGAGGGGGACCCCAAAGAAATCTATACATTGTTAACGATGGAGCCCAGTGTCTTTCGTTGCCTGGGTTACTGCTGCCCGTGTACCCATTTTTCTACAGCTGTTTCAAGTGCACAATGCATGAGAGCCCACCTGATGTTTTCATAGACCCTGAAGGAGACCTTTGAGTTCATCTAAGAATCTAATGCCGCGGCCTCAGTTTAGACCCGAGGAAACTGCAGCCAATGGGGGATGGGGGTAGGGGTGCTGTGGTTAAGGGACTTCACAAAACCCAACAGCTGTGGAGTGACAGAACCAGGATTGGAACTTGGGCCTCTCAACCACACAAAAGAGCATCTTAACACACAAAAGGATTTGGATGTAGCTCCTTCTGGCCCCAAGGCCTCTTCTATTTCTACTCTTAATATTTGAGGTGTCCCAAAAGTTTTAGAGTGGTTTGGAGTTCCATGTGGTTTAAAATTATCCTGAGACTTTGGGGGAAACCAGCACTGCTCACTATTTCAGCAAAGTGTTGCAGAATCCGTCCCCCAGAGGACCAGGTGCATCACTTTTCCTGCCCCTGTGTCAGCTGATGGCTTGACCGGAGACCTGGGAGTTGCTGACGCAGTTCCAACACAATTCAAGTAAACAGTGATAGTGTGACTTGAAAGCATTCCACGTGTCATCCTTCACTGCAGAGTTTACTTTCTGGTGGAGGCCTCCCTAGGGCGCTTTATAACATGGCTGGATTTCGTAAAAATGGATGCTACGCATAATGTTGCAAGACTTTGCTTATGGTGTGAAAAACCCCAACAATACAACTGCCTCTGCTTTTTTGTAAGCACATGATATTCTATCTAATGCAATGTGCACTATTCATAACAATGGTAATTAATAGGAAGAATGCCATAAAACGTCACCTGGATCATATTCTGCCTTGTCCAGTTCTCACCAGATGTGGCTGACACCCCAACCTCAATGCAGGCCTTGGGCTTGGAGTGCAGACCTGCCCCACTTCCTTTGCCTTGAGTGGCTGTCACAAGTTACATGCTCTCCTCCCACCCCTCTGAGGCACAGGGTGCAGGGGGCCTTCGACAGCACCCATGGCTGGAAAGGCGCAAGGAGGGACAGACACTTTTCCCAGGCCAAGATCAGCCCAAGGGTGGCTGCTTCCTGTCTGTGCAGACAGGTCACTCCTGTCCAAGCCAGATTCTGGCTTTGGTGTGGTACTCGTGGTAGGAGCCGCTGCCCGCACAGGGACAGGAATCTGGGTCCTTTCAGCTCCCTGGTGTCCCCAAACGCAGCCACAGGGAAATGCACCCGGGCTGCCCCAGAAGAACCACCCCTCAGATGTTCTCAGTTCTCCCCTGGGGACTGTGTGCTGTAGCAAGGGCCGTGGTGGTGCTGAGGAACAGAAATAAATTTCTGGACATGACTTTTTTTTTTTAAGCCCATTCTTTTGATATTAAGGACCAGATTGTACATTTTGTTCTAAAGCGGTCGCTGCACTAGCGAGCCTGGAAAGGCCTGGTGGGCTCTGCTATGAGCACCTGTCCCGAAGCAGGAGGTGGCAGCACACTTGAGGGACAGTGGCGGGTACAGGCTGGGAGGGCAGTGTCTGAGCAGCGGGATCCTCCCCTGGCACGCTGGGAAACAGCTAGAAAACCAAGCGCTGTAGCTGTCTCCGCAGCAACCAGGATGGTGAGAGATTTTAAAACGACTGACTGTAATTGAGGAAGCACTGAAGGAATTGGAATATTCAGCCTTGAGAGGAGATGACTTTGGGGAAATGACGACCATGGGGGATAGTCATTTCCCAGGCCCAGAATGTCATGCTTTGGTTCTAATATTTGTATCAAGCCAGCTTCTCTAGAGGGGCCCATGCTGCTGGCTGGTATGGAACCGGCTGTAACTCTTAGGTCTTTCTTTAATTATTCAGAGGAACCCTTCATAGTGGAACCTTTAGAAAGCCTTCTTAAAAGCATCATGGGAATATAAGTGGTAGGTTTTCATCTCCTAGTTATTCCAATAAGGAGCAAAGAGGCCCAGGAAGGCCAGGCAGTGCCCATGGGCATCACTGTGATTGGGAAAGGCCAAGGCCATGGCAATGTGTACAGTGAATTGGAGGGAAAGGGATGAGGGGCTGGCTGGTCAGTACTGGACCCTTATGGCAGCCTGGACAGGGCTGAGGGTGGCCTGGGCCAGCGAGGAGGTGGGGAAACAGATTCCCAAGTCATTCCTTGTATCCCCTTCATGGGGCTTGCCATCTTGATTACTGCACTTATTGGATTACTCATCTGATTACCACGATTAAAAGATGGTCATCATGGTATATATAGACAATGGATTGTTATCCAGCCATAAAACAGAAGGAAATCCTGCCATTTGCGACAACACGTATGGACCTTGGTGACACGATGCTAAGTGAAATAAGTCGGACAGAGAAAGATCAATGGAGATCTCACTTATACGGAGAACCTAAAAAATCCAAGCTCATAGATACAGAGAACAGGTTCGTGGTTGCCAGAAGCAAGAGGGTGGGGGGGGGGGGGGGGGGAAAAACGGGGGGGGGGGGGGAAAAAAAGAAAAAACTGGGTGAAGAGGGTCAAAAATACAAGCTTCCGGTTAGAAGGTAAATAAGTCCTGGGGATGTAATGTATAGCATGGTGACTGTTTAAAGAAAAAAAAAAAGGGACTTCGCTGGTGGCGCAGTGGTTAAGAATCCGCCTGCCAGTGCAGGGGACACGGGTTCGAGCCCTGGCCCAGGAGGATCCCACGTGCCGCAGAGCAACTAAGCCCATGTGCCACAACTACTGAGCCTGCGCTCTAGAGCCCACGAGCCACAACTACTGAGCCCGTGAGCCACAACTACTGAAGCCCAAGCGCCTAGAGCCCGTGCTCCGCAACAAGAGAAGCCACCGCAATGAGAAGCCCGCGCACCGCAACAAAGAGTAGCCCCCGCTCGCCGCAACTAGAGAAAGCCCGCGTGCAGCAACCAAGACCCAACGCAGCCAAAAAAAATTAATTTTTTTTTTTTTTAAAAAGGTCATCAAAAGACATGAGTAGGACAGACATGGTATCGTCATTAGCAACGACCATGACCTCAGGATAGGCGGGCACATGGGAGAAGCACACACTCCGCCCCTTCTTCTGGCCTCTCTAAACTCTTCCCAGGGCAGGTGTGGATTCCTACACTGCCGCGGCGCTTTGGCTGCTTGGTCCCAGGGTCTGAGCTGCATTTCTCTTTTTTTTTTTTTTTTTTTTTTTTTTGCGGTACGCGGGCCTCTCACCGTTGTGGCCTCTCCCGTTGCGGAGCACAGGCTCCGGACGCGCAGGCTCAGCGGCCGTGGCTCATGGGCCCAGCCGCTCCGCAGCATGTGGGGTCTTCCTGGACCGGGGCACGAACCTGTGTCCCCTGCATCGGCAGGCGGACTCTCAACCACTGCACCACCAGGGAAGCCCTGCATTTCTCTTTTTATTAAACATTTTTGATATACAGAAAAGCACATATCATGGGTGTACACTCAATGCATCATCATGAAACTCATGCAAATCAAGGGACTTGCCCAAGGACTCAAAGTTCCCCTGAGCCTCTTTGGTCTTTTCCCAGTACTTCTTCATGCTCCATTCTTCCCCCACCCCCTCCAAACCGTGTGTCTCCACCCAGGATGGCAGACTTGAGAACTGAACACAACCGTCTAACAAAGAAAATGGTGCTGGGCGGAAAGCAAGGCTCACCAGGACCTTATTGGGCTCCTGATAACAACCTTCCCTCCCCTCGTGGTTTGCAGAATCCTCAGCCCTGGTGCCATCTTATAAAATCCATGTTGGGTAAACAGCCGAACTAATAGTATTAACAGCCCACAGGCGGTTGGACACATTCACCAGGTCCTCCAGCTAACAAGGGGGAACCCCTGGGGGCCTCATTCACAGTTCCTCACGGTCACTTGCAGCAGTTACATAACCGGCAGGAGCCGATTCTGGGCCCGTCCCCTCACCCAGGCCCAACAGAGAGCGGATTTGAGGAAGATGTCTTCCCAGGAGCCGTCAGGTCTAATGAGGATAACTGTGTCACATTTTGGAATTAGAGCTGTATTTTCTAAAGAAATTATTTGGCTGGTGTTTCCTGTGAAAAAGAGTTTCAGTCGATTGCCAACGGAGCAAAGGAAATGTGACCTCTGAAAGGAGGAGTGTAGCCCTGGTGTCCGGCAAACAGCACAGGCCTCCTCTCCGGGTTTATTGTTCACCGTCAAGGTCAACCCCGTTGGTCGTACCCTTGTCTTTTGATGACCACTTTGCACTCATCACATAAGGAGTCAAATAAACGCAAGCATCAAATCACAGTAATCGGACGTGTTTGTGGGAAAGTATATGTGTCGTGAGGACGTTCACATCCACCCTTATGTTGGTTTCCTCTGGTTTTCAAATTCCAGGTAATCAGGGGACTTCAACTGCCTAAAGTAACCCATGATGTTCATGTTAGATTTAGGTCTCATTCCACTAATGATCGTCTGTCCTGTGTCTTCAGGGTTTCCTCCCTATGGGCCTCTCCTTTTTAAAAGAGGTCAAGTCTCTCCCAACTAAAGCAAACAGCACTTTGAACGTGGCTTTCTGGGCATCTTCCTAAATGACTTGTTCTCTCTGCTCTGCCGAAGGCTGCCTCCTGCCGACGCTCGGCGGTCGGTCTCAACGCGGTAGATGGTTCCTCTCTTTCCTTTGGGGACCTCCTCCTGGAGCAGCTCTTCCTGGGGCAGAAATTTCTTTGCCTCCTTTAGCTCATTGCTTCCTCCTTGGAGCCCTCTCTCTCCTCAGCTTCTGGATACGATCCTTCTCATTCTCCTTCTCCTGAAACTGTTCCTTCTCTGTCTCTTTCAAGGGTTACCCTTCCCCTGACTGCCCCCAAATTTCCGAATATCCCAGGGTGCTTCCTCCATTGCCCTTTGTCCCACTCAAGCCATCACATTCTCCCTGAATGGCTGCGTCTTCTATTGCTTTCAGCTGCCACTTAGGTGTTGATGACTCCAATCTATCCCGCCTTCCTAGACCTTCTCCCTAAATTTCACCGCTGCGTCCACCTCTGCTCGGGCACCTCTTAGCTCGGATCCAGAACAGACACCGATCCTCCCCCAGCCCTGCGCCTCCTGCAGGCTCCACCTCCACCGAGGGCTCCCCCCCAGCACTCCCCCTGGAGTCACGCTTGCCTTGTCCCTCCTCCTCCAGCCCCACATGCAGCAAAGCACCAGGTCACCGTCATTTCACCTCATAAGTCATTCTCAGCTCATCCCCAAGTGCAGGGCTCGTCATTTCTCAGCAATTTTACTATAATACGTCAAGTAGGTCGTTGACTTTCTCTTGCTTCCCTCAGAATTGCAGAGTGAGGTTTCCAAGATGCAAACTGATTCTGTTCCTCCCGTTTTTTATATATATATATTTTTTTAATTAATTTATTTTTTATTTTATGTATTTATTTATTTTTGGCTGCGTTGGGTCTTCGTTGCTGCGCGCAGGCTCTCTCTAGTTGCAGCGAGTGAGGCTACTCTTCGTTGCGGTGAGCGGGCTTCTCATTGCGGTGGCTTCTCTTGTTGCAGAGCACAGGCTCTAGGCGCGCAGGCTTCAGTAGTTGTGGCACGCGGGCTCAGTAGTTGTGGCGCACGGGCTTAGTTGCTCCGCGGCATGTGGGATCTTCCCAGACCAGGGCTCGAACCCGTATCCCCTGCATTGGCAGGTGGATTCTTAACCACTGTGCCACCAGGGAAGTCCCCTCCTCCCCTGTTTTTATTAAAAAAAACAAAAAAACAATGAAAGTTTACCATGACTTTTCAGAATAAAGTCCAACCCCCTTGGCCTGTACACCATGATGTGGCTCCTAACTTTCCAGCCTCACTTCTTGCTACCCCTTGCCTGGACTATACTACTCTCCTGCTTCGCGTCCCCTACACCCTGCTCCCTGTGACCTCTTTCCTTCCTGTAAGACGTTGGTCTAGTGCCACTTCTTCCAGAAACTTCCATGACCTCCCTCCCCTCCCCCTCCTCCATGCTCGCGTAATACCTGAGTGCATGTCTCTTATGCCATCTTTCCAACCCGAATAGTCTCACCTGCTGGATTGTGTGCTTCTTAACAAAGGGGCTGAGGTTTTGTCTCTGTCATCAGGGCCTTGCATGGTGTCTGACATGTAGAAGCTGCACATACACACACACACATGCACGCACACACACACACCACGCACACATACATATGCACATACTACACACAAACACATAGACACACACACACACACACACAAGGCTTGCTGAATGATTGATGTCATAGGGAAAAAAGGAAAACAGAAACACACCCAAAGAACAAAGTATCAAAAACAGCAGAAGGAATCTATCAGCCATAAGAGTTACATTAAAATCAATTTTCATGAAAAAAGCACGACTGGATTCGACATTATGATTTTGTATAAAATACAGAATTACTTTATATAATAATTAAGATGTCATATTTTTTTGCAAATAGAGGCAGTAATACATTTTAAATAAAGCCACAAGATTTTTCTCTGAAAACAAAGGTGCCCCTCTTTCTAGCCAATTCAAAATGTATATGTAAGTCAAGCCAAATTAATAAGAGAAAACAGTTCCACAATGAACCCTAATCCTATTAACAGAATTGTCAGTCTAGGTTAGTCATTGAAAAATAATGTCATGCTCCCTGCTGAGCTATACGATTTAGTTACACCTGGTGTTTGTCTGCTGTATTAAGGGCATCGTTCACTTTGAACAAAGATGAAGATAGAAGAAAATCTATCAGTAGAGTTTCTTTAAATGTAGTGCATTGAAAGCTCCATTAGAACTGAATTTGAAAGTTGCCTCTTATAAACAGATTGGATTTTGTGAAGCTTTCTTTGCCCACCTCCTTCAGATCAGGGGCTCTCAGGGCTGCCTGGCCGGGTCCCAGACACTGAAACCTCCTGCTTCTGAGCAGCTGTTTCTGGTGGCAGCACAGGGAGGCCATCAGAGGCCCGTTAGGGGCTGTCCCTTCCTGCTCCTCCCTTTGCTGCCCTAGTTCAGTTGCTCCTTTTACTCACGCCCTTGAAAGAGCCGTGGATTGAAGGTCCTGGGGGAACCTGGGAAGGGAAGAAAGTCATCGGATTTGGATGTGTCGCTTAGCCGCACTTTCTCACTTAATCCTCACAGCCACCCTGGAAGGTAGGTAGATATCATCTCCCCTCCATAGATAAGAAGAGTGGCTCGGAGAGGGAATGGGACTTCCCAAGGTCACACAGCTGGTAAATGGCAAGATTCAACTCCAAGCCAATCCGACCCACTGGCCACATTTTCCTGCGAGACCTGGCAGCAGGGCTGGTTTCTTGTCCCCTAACAAGCAGAATGACATTTATGCAAGTATCTTCACCTCCCAGGACCTCGGTTTCCTCATCTGTAAAGGAGAGGCTTGGACAAGCGGCCTCTAAGAGCTTCTTGAGTTCCTCTGGAACATCTGCGTAAAAGAAAGAAGTTTAAGATGTACACAGTGGGAACATTTCATCCCACGAGGGGCCCTATGTGTGCACCCTCTCAATCAAACATTAAAAACTGACGGCTGGGAGACTTCCCTGATGGCGCAGTGGTTAAGATTCCGCGCTCCCAGTGCAGGGGGCCCGAGTTTGATCCCTGGCCAAGGAACTAGATCCCACATGCATGCCGCGACTAAGAGTCCTCATGCCCCAACTAAGGAGCCTGCCTGCGGCAGCTAAGACCTGGCACAACCTAATTAATTAAGTAATTATTTTAAAAACTGAAAACTGTATTCGAGGAGTCAAATCCACAGCCTCTGTCCCATTCTGGGTGTGCTGAGGGCTCTTTAAGTAGCTAAAGAGGGAAAGACGGTGTGGTATAGCAGAAGTTGCAGCTAGCAAGCCCGGGACAAGGTCTCAACACCAACTCATGCGTTAGAATCACCCAGGGAAGCTTTTTAAAAACTCTATTGCCTGGGTCTCTGCCACAGATCCCTAGAGCCAAATATGGGGGTGGGGCCTGACCATCGTGGTTTTCGACACTTTACAAAGGATTCAGAGGTACAGAGAGGGGCGAGAACCACTGTCCCCAGGGAGAAAACATGAACTCAGTTCTTCAGCAGTATCTGATCAGAGCAAGGATGAGGCTTTCTGCTGAAGCCTAGCCCCCAAGGGCCTCACACCCACCTCCCTCCTGGTCCAGCCCGAATTCCTCCTTGCTTTCGGCAAAGCAGGCCATGCTCCCTTTTCCTCTCTATAGGGGCGTTTTTTGACTGGCTGTATCCTTCGATCTACACGCCACCCTCCCAATGTCTTGTAAGCTCTGGCAGGATGGGAGCCAGGGGATGCTGTCACCTTGCCTAGGGGCCAGCGTGGCTGCCTCACTCATCACCAGGACAGTGAGGGGTGGTTTGTGAAAACAGGTAACTGCTGACATTGGAGATCCTCAGAATAGGTAAAGCATCAAATATCAGATCCACTCGTCCATGGGAAAGAAATCCATTAATCCAGCGGTTTGGTATCCTGTAGACCAAAAACAAGGAAACAAACCAAAACCAAATCTACCTTGTATCAAACAGACTGGTATGTGCTTGTACACCAAGCTTGACTGACTGGGCTCTTAAGTGGTAAATACTCAGCCTTTTGATCATATAACCGTGTAAGATAGTTTATCATCATATCTCCAGTTTGGTACAAGATGAAGTCCAATTTATCAAGATGAGGATGTAGGAAGTCTGAATCCAGGGTCGTGCTTACCCTTCAGAGAAAGGTCAGAAATCAGTCACAGGGAATAGCAATGCAAGCTATGGGGCTATTTAAATAATGGGGCATTCAGCACTGGCAATTAAGATTATAAATCTGGTTAAAAAGCAAGAGATTAAAACTGATTCTGGTCAGCCAGCATAAAAATAATTAGCTCTTAACTGCATTAAACAATAGCGCAAGTTGATAAGCTTTCTAGAAAAGAGGAGACTTCTGAAACAGAACCCCGAAGAATGAAGTATAGCCTATAGTTCCTCTTTATATGCTGGGTCACTTCACTTTTTCCCTCACTCACTCACTCATTCATTCATTCATTTATTCACCTACACCACGGTTCTCAGCGCCAAACTTCCCCTCCCTCCCTGGAGCTGATTTGTATTGGCTGTAACTGCGTTTGTGCTCGTGGGCTGTGATGAGGCATTGCTGCCTTTTCCTGATGCGTGAACTCTGTCAAAATATTCCTAGCATTCCCAACCTGGAGCAGCAGAAAGTCAGGAGAAGACTTTCATTGTGTGGATGGTAGACAAGGTCCTATCGGCAGGGTGGTTTGTCATGCAAGGGAGAGACAAGGCCCAGGGTCCACTGTATAAATCCCATAGACGGGCCTGAATTGCTTGCTCTGTCCCGATTTTTTTCTTAAGGGCTGGTACTCTCCCACCCTGTCTTTCACTGTGCACGCCTCCTTTCTCCCAGGGATCCTTTCAGCAGGGATCTTGACGCCGTGCTGCGCTTTTTCCTCTAAAATATTAATAACCACAGCTACTGTTTGTCCAGAGCTGAGACGCTTACAAGGCCGTTTCACAATATGTCTCGTTCAATCTGCTCAGTAATCCTCTGAGGGTCCCACCTGGTGGGCATCAAATTGTAAGGTGACTTGCCCAAGGTCATGCAGTGGGCGAAGGACAGAACCGGTCTCCCGACTCTAAATCCCACAGTCTTCCCACTGTCATAGCCACCTCTGCAGGATAGGGGTCGGGGTTGGCTGCAGCTTTTTGCAAATGGGAGGGACCCTAACCCTTGGCCTGTCCTAGGTCTACAGCTGACCCACAGTGCTAACGAGTCCGGGAGTTCAGGTTTGGTTCCAGAGGACTTCATTTTGTCCTCTAGACCTGCCTGGTTGTCTTACGCTTAGTTACGATGTGCCCAGGGCACAGGCTGCAGCCCAAGAAAATTGATTCCAGGACTAGACTCGTCACTTGCAGCCATGGTGCTTTGATGCACAGTCAGTAGCGTTGTCCTTCCGGAAGGATGCTGGTCACAGGACTCTCTGACCACAGCCATTGACCACACCCAGTGCCGCCCTGAGCCCGGACAAACAGCACCACCTGCCCCGGGCCCTGTGCTTTAGAAGACTCTCCTCTGTTCCTCCACCGGCCACACCTTCACAAGGGGTGAGAAGTCTGCGGCCAAAGGGACAGGCCTGCCCACACCCCTCTTGTAGACCACACTCTGGCTGCCCAATGCCCTGAACTCCCTGCCTAAATGCATTCTGGGGCCTGCCCAGGCCTCTGCACCAGGTCTGTCCTCTCGAGGGTACACTGAGCTGCTGGCCTGAGTACCACTGGGCCTGAAAAGTAGGGTGGCGGTCTGCATACTGGAAACCATACACACAAGCTTGCCATGGAAGGCTGGAACCAGGGACTGGGGAAAAAAGAGGTACAGGTCTAAGCCAGGGACCTCTATCAGTATTTATCCTCTGTGTCCCACAAACATTAGGGTGAGCCTGACAAGGGGTAAGGGGAGCTGGACCCTCTGGGCAGGTTTCTCCCAAAATTGAGGGCCTAGTGCTAAAAGGGAAATGAATAGGCCCAGTTTGCTAGGAATGCTGAGCCTCTGGAGTGAAGGTAGGGAGGGTTCATTCCCAGGCCAGAGGTAAGGGGCCAAGAGAGCGAGGCCTTCTGATGGGGCTGAGCACCACGTGCAGAGTCAAGACTATCCAGTGCAAATCCCCCTCCCCCTCTCTCTGAAGGTCATTACATTCAGGAGTATCTACCTTTAATTATATATAATTATATATATGCTTAATATTTTCCAGATAATTCAGTTATCATTTAATTACTCTTCTGTAACTCTTAGGCAAATAACATAACCCCAATTTATAAATAAGGAAATAAAGCTCAGAGAGGTAGTGTTAGGTGCCCAAGGTCACACAGCCTGTAAGTGGTGGCAGTAACCTTCATGCTCAGGTAATCTGATTCTCAAACCAACACTTGACCTCTAGGCTGCACTGCCTCCAGCGGAGCGTAAAGATAAACAAGTCAGTAGCTATGAGACAGAGCTCTTGACAGTAGAGAGGGCCTGCACATTCAAGTGTTGTTAGGCTGCTATAGTCCCTGACAACGGGCTCACCGAGTCATTCAATAAACTTCTATTGTCCGTGGCGACACGCCAGACACTCCGCTGGGTTCTGAGACTTACTGATGAGTAAGTTACAGCCCCCTGTCTTCAAGGGAGGTGGAGTGGGGCTTCTTAAACTTTAGCAAGCACCGGAATCACCAGGAGGGCTTGCTAAATCACAGGTGGCTCGGCCCACGCCCCCAGCTTCTGAATCAGCAGGTCTGGGTGAGAATGTGCTTTTCTAACAAGATTCCAGGAGATGCTGCTGTGGCTGGCCCCGGGATCCCGCTTTGAGAACCACTTGGCTAGAAGTTGTGCCGACCCAGATCCCCTCTGTGAGTTGGGAGGCAAAGTGGAACCCCACTACCCTCCCTTCCCTGGGCCAGTGGAAGGAGGTAAAAATAAACCCGAACTGGTCCAAAGCAGCAGAGGCAGAACAGTGAGCTGCCTGGTGAAGAGGGTGCTGGGGAGCACTGGCCCGGGAGCCCTCCTGAGTGCCTCGGGTCTCTTTGGGCACCAACTGGCTGGCTCGCTGGCCCTTTGGCCCCTCTAGCTGCCTGTCCCTCCAGGCCCCCAGCAGCTACTCTGTCCATGTGCAGAGATCTTATTACGAACCAGAGGGGCGGGGGTACCAGAATTCCCAGCAATGCCTTTGCAAATCGTGTATGTGTGGGCAGGGGTCCCGCAGTTACATGAACTGAGAATCACCAGGAGGCCCTGCTTTCCCTCCCGTCCCTGTAAAAATGCCCTGAGGACCATCCTCAAAGGGATGCCTCGGGCAACCTGGAGGGTAGGTAAATAAAAAATAAACAGAAATGGAGGATTGGCTGGGAGCCCCTGGGGATTAACTAATTAATCCCCACACCAGTTTGACGAGGAACTAATTAATCCGTTAAGCGCCTTGAGGGGAAGAGGCCTGGCCAAGTGCACAGAGAAGCTTCTCTCACCTGGGGAGTCGACACTGAGAGTCGCCATTCCCAGGGGTCTCCAGGGAGGGCCTGGTGAAGACCACGCCGCCCAAAGGCATCCTCGTCTTCTCAGCATCAGAAGTCGGCCTCCCGAGGTGGGGAAAGAAAGCAAGGAAGTAAATACGAAGAGGGAACTCTGTGTAGGGCAGGGCAGGTAATCTAGAAGTTTCACGTTGGAAGTTGAGCCGCTCAGCTCCATGACGGCGTGTGGACAACACAAAAAAAGAGCTCAGAGGTGCTGAACGGGATCGGCAGAGACACCACGTCAGATCATTCCAGACAAAACTGAGACTTCTCTCTTTGGCTGGCTAACTGCCTCTGTGAAGCTAGCTCCACTGTGTTTGCAAAAGGAAAATAACTGAGCAGGGGCCAGCGATGGGGGAACCTGTCCATCACGGCTGAGCTGAGGCATCCGCCCTGGTGCCTCACATCCTCACCTGTCGATGGTGCCCTGGGGCTGCCAACGTGATGGCATACCCTGCCCAGAGCGGGTTTTTACAACCTCATCCTGAGTGAAGTTCACATTGTTTTTGCCTAAACTGAAGTTTTCTGGGCGGAAAATATCAAAAGCCCTTTGCTGCATTTTGTAACAAATTATGTCAACTTTTAATGTTTAGAATAAATCTTTTTGAGTTAAAAAAAAGAAAAAAAAGTCGGTCTCTCAACCTGTTTCTGGAGCCAGGCTTGCTGTCACTTTACCCAGAGAACCAAATAAAAGGAGCTCTGGGGAAAGGCTGTGGTCTCCAGCCTCTCGAAGGCCATTGGAGAAGTCTGGAGCTACAGAGCATCAGAAGTGGGGACTTGGCAGGTGCCCAAATCTTTCTCCAATCAAATCAATGCAGTCTGCTTAAGACTGAGATGACCATTTTGCCTTTGTGTGGTTTTTCATGCCCTTTGGTAACAAATTCCAGGCTGGTCACAACACCCTTGAGGTGGGCCCTACAGTCTGCTTAGATCTTTCCCACCACTTAGACCACAAGATCACTTAGATCTTTCCCATCACTCGCTTTTCTGGTGCTCTTTTTAAACTTCTGTGTCCCCAAAGCCCAGTTTCCCTCACGTTACGACCTCAGAAATTTATATCTGAGACCTCTCAGAAAATTATATCCAAGAGCAGCCATCTGAGAAAGGAAACCCTTGCCTTTCCCAGAGAAACTTTTTCTCTAGATTCTTCTCTGTTACAAAACAAAGGGCTCTGCAGCCTAAGGGTAAAGGGATTTCAGAGGCCAGGCAGCAGGAACTAAGAGATCGTGGGACAGCCACAACTAGGACCACAAAAGGAAATTGTAAGGCATCGGCGACACGCAAGGCTAGGCGGTGCTGGACGATTCACTTAATAAGCTGGTTTGTGCGCCAGACTCGCTTCCAGGTGACATGGATGTAAAGTTGAGTTTGAGGTGATTCTGTGTCTAGTAGAAGGGAGGGAAGGGGCGATGGTTAAACAGACGTTGCCCCTGAAGAGAGATGGCTGGATCGAGGGAGCACTGTCTGGCCCTGTGAACCCAAACCCCACCCTCCAGAGTGGGATCCCTGAGTCACAACAGCCTGGGGCTGATAGACAGCAAAGCTTGCAGAGCTGCCCTGAGGCAGAGTTGGTTAAACTTTCTGGGCATCAGCACGATAGGAGAGGGATTCTTCAAATGCAGATTGCTGGACCCCCACCCCGGAGTTTCTGATTCAGTAGGCCTAGGGTGGAGGCGGAGAATTTGTCTTTCTAACATGCCCGGTCCAGGGACCACACTTTGAGAACCACTGTGCTAGAAGGTTCCAATCGACCCAAGTGCAGTGAAAGGTGGGGGGGGGGGGTCTCAACCGGGATGTCTGGCCTCCATAACTGGTGGTACCAGGCCCAGGCTCTGCTGCGAGGTGGCCAAATGTGCCATTCCCTCCATCCATCCACAACAGACCTCTATCTCCCTGCTGCTTTCAGGATTTGTGTGTTTGTTTTGGAATGCCTTCTCCATCTCCGTGTTTGTTTTGCCGCACAGAGTGAAATGGACGAGAACCAAATCCAGATGGCTGGAGATGATGTGGATTTGCCCGAAGATCTCCGGAAAATGGTAGATGAGGATGAAGAAGAGGAAGAAGATAAGGGTTCTATTCTCGGGCAGTTACAGAATCTCCAGAACATGGACTTGGATTCCATCAAAGAAAAAGCCCAGGCCACCTTCTCGGAGATCAGGCAGACAGCGGAGCAGAAGTGCTCTGTGATGTGAGGGGCAGGGCAGGCATGGAGGAGGCGGCCAGGTGAGGGTGGAGGGGACCCCTCCCCCGTGGAGCATTTCAAACCGCGTAGGCTTTAACGCAGTGAACAGTTAGGAAAACCGTATGAAAAGCTCTCTACAGACACATAGCTTGGTTGTTCTAAATGTTCCTGGTAGAACGATTAGCTAGCACCTTACAGCAGGAATCATACTGTCCTTTTAGTTATAAATGTGGTCAAGCATGACCTTTCAGCCGTGAATGATGCAGAACATACCTCTGCTTAAAGATCTTCAGGATAGCCAGGAAAAAACAAAAGCACGTGGCATTTCATCCGTGACTTCCTTCTTAGAGGGCAAGGTCTCACCCTGTCCAACAATTAGCAGGACTCCAGGTCCCTTCAGAGGAAGATGTGGAAGGTCAGGGCGCCCACTGGGGAGCCCAGGCTGCAGGCTCAAGGGCTGTCAAAGATCACACCACCTCTCACTCCAGGCTTCTTGATGTCGTTGATGCTTCTCGTCAAGTTTTGCGTGAAGCCAAGGAGCAGGGATGGGGTAGAAGATGAGAAGGAGGCAGAGACTAGACTTCGCCGGCATCTGCGTTGGAGACCATCATTCTAGAAGCATGTGAAGAATGGATTTGGGTGGAGGTGGGAAGTTGGGGGGAAGGGGAGGTGGAAGCTAGAGGCAGGGGGGCAACTGGAAAGGCTACCGCTGTTTCTGTATTCAGTGTCATCTCCTCTTGAACTTGGTGATAGCATGGGGACCAAAAGGGTGGACAAATAGCGTTGAGATGTTACACCCATCTGTGTGTGTGTGTCTCTTTATCTCTCTCCTCCCCTTTTTTTCTCTCAACCTCTTCTCCCCTTCTTGTTCCTCTCTCTACCTCTCCTCCTTCTTTTTCTTTCCTGTCCCTCCCCATCCCACCCCTTCAGACTGGATTCCAATAAACCATGCTATTTTCATTCTGTGCCGCAGTCTTCCAGGCTCCAGTCAACCCTCCGTCTCCACAGATGCGGAACCCGTGGATGCGGAACCCAGGGATATGGAAGCCGGCGGTACTATGCCATTTTATATAAGGGACTTAGCATCCTTGGATTTTGTATACACGGCAGGTCCTGGAACCAATCCCTGGCAGATACCCAGGCACGACCGTATACATGGATTTCTTTTGCCTAACGTTTGCTCTCTTTCAAAGGAAATTACCCAGAAGAGTTAGAACTTTTACCTCTGAGGCACTTAGAGCTGTTTAACCAAACCCAACCCAACCAAAACAAAATACTGTTTTCTCCATGAACCTTCACAGAATAAATAATTCTCAAAGACCAATTTTATCAAGAAGAACTGCTCTATCAGAGGAAAAAGGAACTAAGACCAAAAAGTTAGGGGCTAATCTGTTCTCTACCCAGAGTTCCTGAATGTGTTGTGTAAGAACAAGTTTCATGTTTTGAAAATATGCAAATAAAACAGATTATTAGGGGTCCAGAATCCATGGTCTTGGGCAAAGTGTAGCCCCTCTCAGAAGTTCCTGGGAGAATTCTGGTACAGTGTTTAAGGATAATTATCCCTCAAGTCCACTTAGTCCATTCAGGCTCAGTCCATTGTAATAAAATACCAATAGACTGGGTGGCTTATAAATGACAAACATTATTTCTCATAGTTCTTGAGGTTGGAAGGCTGAGATCAGCACGCCAGCATGGTTGGGTAAAGGCCTACTACTGGGTAGTAGGATTCTCATTTTATCCTTACATGGTGGAAAGGGCAGGGGAGCTTTGGATGAGGGGGATCTCTTTTATAAGAACGCTAATCTCATTCATAAGGTTCTCTACCCTCATGACCTAAGCGCCTTCCAAAGGCCCTACATCCTAATACCTTCTCCTTGTGGGTTACGACTCAACATGGGAATTTGGGGGGGGACACAAATTCAGACCATAAGCCCCAGATACCATGAACATTTTTTTAAAATCATGCTCATCTTTTATCACAACTGGCATGTGAGTTGTGATTTGTTTTATACCAGAAACTTTAAAACATTCACAATTTTTTAAAGACAATTTTTTAGAGCAGTTTAAAGTTCACAGCAAAATTGAGAGGAAGGTACAGAGATTTCCCATATGCCTCCTGCCCCACCCCCAGACACACAGCCTCCCCCACATCAGCATCCTCAGAGTGCAGACATTTAAAACATTCACAATTTTAAAACTATAAATAATAGATAAGATTTATTTTCAGTTCAATACCTGACTCTGCCCTGTAATTGACAACGTTGGTGAATGGGTGATGCACGTGACCCTACTCTGTACAATTTGTTGGGACATAAAATACTGTGACTGCCAAATTATTCCCAGACCAGTTGCAGGATGACATAGAAGCCTTGCTTTCTTGTCAAAGATGTAGCCAATGCTGCTCAGAAAAATCACTAAATTGGCACTTCACCTTGACAACCCAAATTGCTCCAATACCATTTGGTCCCTGCCCCAGTGAGGCTGTATAACTCCTAGAAGACTCTGGCCATGGTTATCTGATTCCTATCATATGACAACACACCACACCACTTTACACCATACAGCCCCACACCATCAATACAGTGTCTCAGGTGTATGGGGTCGGGGCAGGGAAGGGCCTGTATTAGGGCATTCAGAAGGCCTTTTTCCCTCTAAAGGGTAGATGTGTCTATGCCGTGGGATGGACAAAAAGCACAGACTCCAACAGCTGTAAAGGACCAGGAGGGAATCTATTCTAAACTCCCACCCAGTAAAGGGGCCTCTTCTACAACAGCCTAGTTGAGGCTTATCTGAAAGCTCCCAGTGGTACAGAATTCACCATCTGCTGCTCCAAGGGAATTCAGCCACCACCCCTTCCATCTGCGGACACCTTTAATTGTTAGAAAATCCTTCCTTGTCTTAAGCTGAAACTGGCTGCTTCTTCGGCCCCTTGGTCATGATTCTGTTGTACGGCGCTCCACAGCTATGCCTCAGTTCTCACTCAGTTTCCTCTTTTCCAGTGATGACATCCTCAGTTCTTTTCTCAATTCTCATCACACAGTATCGACACTGTTAACCCACCAGGTGATCCTGCTCTGATTGCCACTGTCCACTAGTGAAGGCAACCTTGCAGAAGACTCTGATGCTATCGCTCTCCACACCTTGCCACCGGACTTGATGCTTGCAGCCATTCCTTTGAGCCAACTGGTAGTCAGGAATTGGGATTCTAGCACAAATTCTGCTAGTGTGAGACCTTGAACAAGTCATTGATCGTCTCTGGAAATTCATTTTCTCAATAGTAAAAATGAAGGGGCTGGGTTACTTTACATTCTATGATTCATGCTATGGTTTCGGGGCTGGTCAATATCCAATGCAGATTGGCAACAGTCACCGTCACAGAACTAGGTTTCTGTCCCTTTACTAACGCCAGCTGAGCAAAGAGACAACAGGCCCCAGGGGTGGTGAGGGGACAGAGTTTTGGTAGGTACTAGAAGGGAGAAGAGCCAGGAACACAGAGGGTTTCCTGTGGAGAGAAAATCTGGAGGTCAGGTAGCATTTCTAGCCGGGTGGAAGGAACCACAGTGGCTCTGGAGAGAGGTGCAGAAGAACGAATTCCAAGAAGACAAATTAAATGGACTTTCCAGTTTGCCAGGACTTAGTCTAGTCCTCAATTAGATATGCACTCTTACAGCATAATGAAACAGGAGGTCTTCTTTTGAAAGAATATTGACATAGTGAGCTCAGCCATTCAGAGGCCAACTAATCCAGTTTGTGAGTTATATAAGCACTTCAGTTTTCGCTCCTGATGCTAGAAATCTGCCAAATCACCGCTTACAAACGGAACCATCAGAGACAGGGAGAGGAGTAAGATTAAAAATGAACAAACTGGGACTTCCCTGGTGGCGCAGTGGTTAAGAATACGCCTGCTAATGCAGGGGACACAGGTTCGAGCCCTGGTTGGAGAAGATCCCACATGCTGCGGAGCAACTAAGCCCATGGGCAACTACTGAGCCTGCGCTTTAGAGCCTGCAAGCTGCAACTACTGAGCCCGCATGCCACAACTACCGAAGCCCGTGCTCCACAACAAGAGAAGCCACCGCAATGAGAAGCCTGCGCACCACAACGAAGAGTAGCCCCTGCTCACAACTAGAGAAAGCCTGCGTGCAGCAATGAAGACCCAACGCAGCCAAAAAAAACCTAAATCAATAAATAAATTTATATTTAAAAAAAGGATCGCTCACAATCCCACCATCAAGAGTCAAAAATTAAAAAAAAAACCCACAAAAACCGTGTATCTGACAAAAGACTGGAATCTGGGAGATATATATGTCTTTTTTCAGGTATAATTATATATAAATATATAGTTTATGTATTTTATATAAATTACATATATATATCTTGGATTCCAGGAGTCTTTTGTCAGATATAAATTATATAATTTATATAAACATATATATCTGAAACTCTTACAACTCAGTAATAAAAATTTTAAAAACAGAAATAGAAAGGCAAAATATTTGAGTAAGACACTTAACAAAGGAAGGTACACAAATGGCTAAGCATATAGAAAGATGCCCGCTGTAATTGTCAGTTAACATTAAAACCAATCACAAAATGACATTTTCTTTCCTTTTTTCTTTTTCCTTTTTGGCCGCGCTGCTTGTGTTGCTTTTTTTTGGCTTGTGGGATCTTAGTTCCCCAAGCAGGGATCGAACCTGTGCCCCATGCAGTGGAAGCATGGAGTCTTAACCACTGGACCACCAAGGAATTCCCTTTTTCTTCCTTTTTCCTTTTTTTTTTTTTTTTTTTTTTACAGAATGACATTTTACCACAGACCCACTAGAGTATTTAAAATTTTAAAAACTGACAACAGCCAAGTGCCGGTGAAGATGTGGTGCAACTGGAACTTGTATATTGTTAGAGGGAGTGTTAACTAATGAACCACTTCTGAAAAAAGTTCTGGAAGTTTCATATAAAAGTAACATACTAAACTAAACTGCATCTGACCTAGCGTTCTACTCGCAGGATTTGAAAGCACATGTCCTCAAGAAGATGTGTCTAATCACCAAGGGGTGAAAGTGGTGGGGGGGTGGGTGGTGGGATGAACTGGGAGATTGGGATTGACATGTATACACTAATATGTATAAAATGGATAACTAATAAGAACCTGCTGTATAAAAAAATAAATAAAATAAAATTCAAAAAAAAGATGTGTCCAAGAATGTTGACAGCAGCTTTATTCATAGGAGTCTGGAAGTAGAAACAGTTCAGGGGTCCATCAATGGGTGAACGGATAAATAGCCATGGAATATTCTACAACTCAGCAATAAAAATGAATGAACCTCTGATACATAAAACAGCACGGATCAATCTCAAAAGCATCAAGTTTAATGAAAGACGTCTTGGGCAATGTACGTGCTATACTATTCCATTTGTAAGAAGTTCTTGAATAGGTAAACTATCCTATGTTCAAAAATACCGGAACAGTGTTTGCCTCTAGGGGAATGGTGGTGAGCACTGACTGGGAAGGGGCAGGCGTGAATTTTCTGGGGTGATGATAATGCACCCTGTATAAAAAAGCATATTAAGCCATATGTCTTTGTGAAACATTAAATAGTACACTAAGATGTATGTCTTTCACCATATGTATGTTTTACTGAAAAAGAAAAAGAGAATCCTTAAAAACTATTGAACTCTAGGTCTTCCTTGGTGGCACGGTGGTTAAGAATCTGCCTGCCAATGCAGGGGACACGGGTTCGAGCCCTGGTCCTGGAAGATCCCACATGCCGCAGAGCAACTAAGACTGTGCACCACAACTACTGAGCCTGCTCTCTAGAGCCCATGAGCCACAACTACTGAGCCCAGGTGCCACAACTACTGAAGCCTGCGTGCC